AGGTACTGTTTGCGCTCTAGAACATGCTTCACCTAATTGATATAAATGAATCATCTGAACGCAAGCTTCTTCATATACAGAGAATAGAGCTTTAAGTGATAAAAACTTAAATTTACAATAGTTCAGTGATTCGAACACAAGCTAAATAAACTCTCCTGATTCAACCAAATTCTAGATAACTGATGGCGATATTGTAGATAATCATGATATCGTTCGCAAACATTTCAGCTATTATTTTTCCCGTCGCCGTAAAACGGGAACAGAAATACATATCCACACATTTTTGATGTTCATAACTAACTTTACGTCCGCTAACGTCATGCAGGTTTACGACTGCTCTCCTGATGGTATTCCTATTTCGGTTGTAAAGCACAGTAGTACAGAATTACCGTTATCCTGATTAAACGTGCTCAACCTGTGGATAGACCATGGAATCTACCTGTCAGTATTAAGGTGTGAGTACTCATATGTTGCGTACAAATGTCTCGTCCTAGTTAGCAGACGAACTCATCAACATTTTCAGCCCTAGTTACTATTCTCACGTCTTTTTACCTTACAGTGGTATGCTTTCACGAAGATAATGCAGTTGGTGAGACGTAAATATTTATTATGGTACAGAACTCTCAGACTAATTGTTTTATCGTGCTCCTTTTGTTTAACTGTACTAAAAACACTTACTTACGCGCAACTTTCTGCTTGAGTTGTTACCACCATGCTGCTCTTTATGTCGCTCACTTGATTACTGTAAATTCTGTGTTCTTTCACCACCACGAAATCATCCGCAAATATATTCCTTACCGTGGATGTATTTGTATTGTCTGAGACGGGCTAGTAATTAGTATTTAGTAGTGATTACAGTCAGTCTCCATCCGGTCATCACTTAAACCTTTTCAATAGTTTACTTATATCTTGGTCGTTTTTGCTTGTATGCATTGCTTATTTCCCTTACTACATGTATAGCCTGTTTCTTTCTCACAATAAGTACTTCGTCACGCTTCATCATATCGCTTTGGCTTACCGGCTTTTTCCACTTCGTTCCGCTCTGCTTTTACGTATTATGTTCTCATGTCTGTCCGCCTGAACGATCACATGATATGAACTAGTCTAAAAACATTTTATTGGATTTTTAATCGCCAACTGAGCACAGACGAGGTTCACATAAACATGATGCATGCAAACTGAAGGGAAGATAACACTCAATTGTTCGGCCAAATTTGGCCTCTTAAGTTGGATGATGTAATGATCGCGCTATCAAATGGCCTATCATCGTGACCTCCTCACTATCGAGAAAAATGTTAGAAATCATCTGCAAACGTCTTTCACTCTTTAATTTTTGAAAACTTGATTAGCTACTGTTAACATGGTTTTATGACCAAACACTTCTGCTGCATAGAGCACTTGAATTTTTTGATCAAATTACGCAACTCAGGGACTTGAGTCATATGGATATAAATGATGAGTTCTATTTTAGTAAAACGTTTGAAAACAGGTCGTGTCATCTTTTACAACTATGCCCAATCATCATACGTTGTCCTTTTCTATCCACCGTTAAATTCTTTTATATGGATATATCTCAATTTTCCTTTTTTGTCTTAAAGTCAACTTAATATTTATTGGTATTAAACGGGACTTGTATAATTATGGCGAATATAAACTTTACTGAAATTCTAGTGCATAACTGTATTTCTGATGAAAGTCTAAATAGTTTATTCACAACAGAGCTGTATCAGTAAGCTGTTTGTGAATAACAATATTTTTCAACCAAAAATTGTTCGTTATTTCAAAAGACTCATAAAGCGCGCCACCTCAACGTTGAAGATTCCAGTTTCTATACCATTGTCTCTAAAGGAAGGAACACCTCGTAAAATATCATATGTTATGGACACCTTGACAAATGCTGAAACATTTTTTCCCATTGGTTTTGTAACGATTAAACCAACATGCGTACGCACACCAAACAATTTTTCCTGTCTCCAGGTCATTATGCCACAAGCCATGACAATGTTCTGACTTGCCAATTCAAAATCTTATCGCCAAATCACAACACGGTTTCTCAACATTTGGGTTGTGCGTAACTTGTCCCTTTTTGTTCGCGTAGCACAATACAGTGAATCGAGTAAAGTAGCAACAATCCTCTATTCTAACAAATCTGAAGCATTCGATCAAGTATTTCATTGTATGTTACATGGTAAATTATATTCTTTGGGAATTCGCAACTCAGTCGGTTTATATAATTTTTAGATGACCTTCAACAAATAACGATGTTCAGCTGAAAATCCTGGGAGCTGAAAGGAATAACTAGTGGGGTTATAGAAAGGAGTGCTCTAGGCTTTCTTTTATTCCTAATATTTGTCAACAGCATTAATAGTTGCTCTAACTTAGGGTGGACTTTCCCACGCGCCAATGACCTTAAGGCAGTCTGCTCATATCATGGAGACGATATGTACAATGTCACCAGTTTCATCAAAACAAGAATGAGATGGAGTAGCACTGTGGTTCAACAAGTGCTCCAGGATCAGTATGGGATGCGGCAAGCCGGGACTCCCTTTTGAGTTGGATGGTAGGTCATTACATGAATGTGATACTACCTCAGACCTTGGATTCAGTTGCTATGATGATCTGAATTTTTCAGAACACATTTAGCAGATAAATTCAAAGGCACATAAACTTCTGGTCTATATAATTCTTAATTTTCACGGACATAAGTCTAGGCTAGTTCTGTTTACAGTTAGTGTCCCCCCAATGATTAAATTTTGTCCCTTTATACTCACTGGCCTTCGTAAGAGCAGCAAGGTAAAAATTGAAGGAATATAGAAATGCTTTAGGAAAATGAATTTAGAATGAAATGTGGACTCATATATTTTGCACGATATGACACAGTAAAGCCTTATCTTTTATTTTACTTCAAACTCGTACACAGATTACTATGATCTACGAACCCAGTATTAAACTTCGCCGGTATGTTCAACGATAAATTAGTAAATTACATTATTTACGTCAAAACATAGCATTCTAGGTCCAACGCAAGCCAAAACTCCTACTTAAACGAGATTTCTGTTGCAAAGAATAGGTTGCATATAGGAATACGGAGAACGGATACCATTAATTACTTAACACACGAGTAAAATAGAATTCATGATGGCCCCAACACACTCACTAGTCTGGCAATGTGTTCGACTGTAATTGCCTCGAAAGCTAAACTTAATGTGATAGGTAGTCTAACGAAAGCCTTTAATATATTAGCACATGGTCACTAATCACCTGTTCAAACTCTGGGTTTCATGCTATTTGACCGAATAGAATGTCTAACTTAGATTGCTCGATCAGTATTGGCTTTAACACTGAAATTAAATACGCTCAAGAGCGTATGTCATACCTTGTAATTCCAAAGGAAGTTCCATACACAAAATGCCTGTTTACGATAGCCATACGGAGACTAATAACAAAAATATCAGGACGGATGCAATAATTGATCCTCTGTTTGAGCTCTGAAAAGTGGAAGACATTTGCATTGTATCGCAACATCAGCCTACCATTGTAACACAGCAAAAAACAAGGCGAGTAAGAGTTTTACTCCGACAATCGTCGCTTCACCAACTTTAGTTCTGCTATCCTGTCTCCATATCAAAACCTTCGACATAGGCATCAATAGAGCTGAGTAACTCAGTTTACTGGAGAATATGCCTCATTGCCCTTAGCAATTTGATCATTACGATAAATTGTCTTGTCTCTTTTAACGTGTACGGTTATTAAGAATTAGTCATTATTATCATTTACATCATTCAGTTCGCGAACAGCTTTGAAAAAGTTACCCTCAAATTCTGTGACTTTCGATCGTTTGCATCTTGTTTCCTTAGTATTCTCTCGTTATGTCAGACCTAATTGAAATTAATACAAAGATAATGAGCATCCAAATACTAACTATAAGAAAAATGTTATTATCGAGTAAAAAAAGAAATGCTGACTCCGAGGACTGACCTATGGATAACAATTATCATTATTATTATATAAATAAAATGTACTACTGAATAAGTAGGTTGTCATATATTTATATTGCTTATACCATAAAATCTTGACTGACTCATCAACCAGCATACTCAAATTTATAAGTATTTTAGTTCTTGGTTTCTAGAGAATAATAAAAACTTCTCCAACTCTCCACATATATCTCTACAAGTTTCCTGATAAAGAATGACCTGCTCCTGTGAAATTGCAGATACGATTCAAAAGTTGCAGTTAAATTTTTACTTACTTCGTTTGACACATTATTAACCTTGTGAATCTTGTTAATCAGTACACAGTCACCAGTTCGTTACTTTAATTGTGCATGACTGGCAGCTATCAGTGAATTATCTTTAGGATGGATTTCTTAGTATTCGAATAATTTAATTCAAGCATATAACTGAACTACTTATGATTTGTCAGCTCGTTGCACTGGATGGCTTGCAAGCACGTTTCATGTCGCTTCAGTTTATCTTCAAATGATTTGGGGAACAGATTAGGAGAAATCTTGTATTTAATTGATTAACCTATTAACCTTATTTCGTTCGATGAAGTAAAGTTTGGAAGCTAGGTCTAAAACATATGTGAATTATATAGAGAATCCAACCTCTGCGCGGGAAAACCGGTAGGTAATTGAGGCTTGACAATGATGGAAATACTTAGAAAACAGGATTTCTATCCCGGTTTTCAGCAAACCTTTGTTATTTTTTGAATATCCTGTTGAAATTCCAAGTTGACATCTCTTGGAAATTATTCCCATAGAAAGAGTGAATTTAACTGCCGTTTTTAAAAACTTCTTGGCCGTCGTAGAGTTTCGAGGCATTTAAAATTATTTACCTCTAAATTTTCGTTGTACTCATAAAATTATATAATTCTCCCTGAGTTTCTGAGCTTCCTTCGTTAATACGTATCTCTTGTGTCAGAACCATATTATGAATATTATTTTCACAAAAGTTTAGATGAATCATATCGTGCTTCTGATAAGTGTTATTGAAGGCATGAAAGAACATGGTCAAAAAAATGCGTCATCTAATCATACAAATCCACTGGTCCCCAGTATGCTTTGTTTCAGCCGAGATGCACACCAATCATGCATTTCAACCCGTTTTGGTTTTATTTTGAGTAGTAGTTTGTTTTCGTCCCTGTTTCTTATTTCAGAAGCAAATTTCAATCACTGAGCGATCACTTATATATACGGGTTCGTCTTAATAACTTTACATATATATTGGATATAGTTTGTTGCGGAGCGATCTTTCAAAATACTTAGCTACTACAGGTGGGTCAACTTGTGCTCATGAGAAATAATAGAGTTTATGTTTATAGGGATGCTGTGTTTATATGCATACTAGATTCAAACTATCAAAAATTCACAGTCGTGTGTTATTTTAACACATTCTCAGTTCTGTCTCAAAATTCCCAGTAATTACATTACTGTTGAATGCATAACAATAAGCTTTTAATAAAAATAAATCGTCTTAAGCATCAGGCATTTATGATTACTTAGAGGCGACTTTTACTAGGCTCATCTGATCTTACATTAAAATCTCTTTTATGGAATGCAGTGATAAGCAACGTATGGAGTGATAGAGTTGAAGAATAGAACTTGCGAAGATAGGGAGAATAATACCAAGTGCTGGAGGTACAGGGGAATCAGAGTTGATCTGATTATGGCGTACAACATATCAAGCACGTCAAATCATCTCAACGTGAGCATCTTACCGAAGGATCACCACCTCACTCCTCAAGGCAATGCTCGAGAAATTGCACATCAAAGAGCGAATACTTATGTTTGTGCACACTTTTTCCACCGGGGTTGTTGCAACGTGGAATGCTCTCTCAGACAAGTTGACAAATTCATATTCGACTGACTAGAATCAGTGCAGTCGAGTGGCTAGACCCCCATCAGTTGGACACTATCTAATACCTGGAACCTTACAGAGAAAACGAAAGTCGAGCTCCAGGACAACAGTTGGTTTATACTAGCTTGTGAAAAAGATATTGGATATCGAATCCCACTTTTCTGGTGTTAGCAGAAGTGCTGTGTGTAAAAAATGCAAATGTTTCAACCGAAATAATATTACTCAGATATTATGCATAAATTAAAGGTAGTGCTGCCAATGTGTCTGATTTCTTACCGCAGAGACTTATCACACATTTTAAGCACAATAAAGAGGACAATCGTAAGTACTCAAACAAACAAAAAAGGAGAAACAAAGGCGTACATTGGCAAGAGTCCTCAGGTAAACTTATTTCAGCTACTATCGGCAACGCGTTAAGTTGCCGCATTTTCTCCCAGCACGGAGTAAATCGTGAGACTTACTAAAACTCACTCCACTCAAGTCTTCTGTTTAGAAAAGATTTTTTTGTTAACCAAAGTAATGCAACATAGCACACTTTACAGCAGACCAGCTGTCGTCCGGGCTCAAGTCCATTTTCAGAGATAAGTCGGCTATACGGCTGGAATACAGATTGTTTGATATTCATGTGCGACTTCCTGATTATCACGAGGACCTCAGGTGACGAAGGTATTGGTAATTGGGGGTATCGGAAGGATTTGATTGTGACCAATATGGTCTCACATGCTGTTACGGGAATGAGGGTGGATGACACTTCCCGGCTGCCCACACCTTGGAAAGCTGTTTGCTAGACTTGAAGCGTGACCGCAGAGTCCAAAGGACAACTGCTTTAATCCAGTTACTGACGGCCTTCTTACGAAAGGTTTCTTGAGTAGTAGCTCCGCTCTTAAAAGCCCTTAGTGGGCAACCTTATCGCCGGAGACGGAAATCTGTCAGGTAGAGTGAGGTGTAACATTTTAGGGTCGACCTTTTCTAATCCTTCCTTCCTTGTGAGAAGGCAGCATCGCTGCAGATGCTGTTTGTCCGAGGGAAACACCTTAATGCTGCTGTCACACCCCTCTACAGTCAGCAGTAGGACTTCGCCCCCAGACCTTGAATAGCTGCTTTTAGTCTCACCGTTCTCCAATCAACCTGCCTGGCATGGTAGAGCCTACAGGAGCATATTTTTCAGCCAATATAGCTCGGTTAGGTCATCACGATAGTCAAGCCCAACCACCACGTCATGGTAGCAGCTACGGTCGGGACATGTGTTACTTATGCCGAACCACCGACTACCTTGACGAGCTATGTTTTATGGTGTAGGAGTGGGTTGGAAGAAAGTTAGGGTGGACGAAACCAAAACATGGCAAAAATCCATGAAGTCTCTGACAGGTGGACTGAGTCAGGTTGGTAGATGTAGGCTACCTGGTTGGGGTCCGCGAGACGATAGTCACCGATGGTTAGAGACCTTGAATGATACTGCTCAAAACCGTTTGCTATAGCGCAGGTGCATTAATTCTTTTTGTTTTCTCAAATCCTAATCTTCTTCATTAGCAGTAATTCTTTTACTATCTCTATCACCATAGGATTTGAATTGACAATTGTGTCACTGTGCTAATGTGGTATGGCAACATGAACTGATGTACTTACGTACGAAGTTCTACGTTGTAACTGACTGACTGACTTAAATTGCTGTTTTTAGTCTTACTGACCGTAACTATTAGCTTGACGTGGCGGTCAGGCTTACCTATCCTGATGACCCAGTCGAGCTATGTTGGCTGGCCTAATATGTCAGGCAGGTCAACTGGAGAACTGTAAGACTAAAAATAGCAATTTAAATCTCGCCTACGTCATAAGTGACGCAGGTTGGCAAAAGCTAATTGAGCATTCTGTATCCGAGCTGAGATTTCGTCAGTCACCAGGGCATCATCACTGATGAGACTCCCCAGATAAATGAAGCGGTCAACACGCTCGACTTCTTCACTCCCTATCACTAGTTCAGGTACCGATGCGATCCAATCTTGAAGCGACCTTTTGCATTTCGAGGGGGTAAACCGCATCCCGAACATGTTTGCATTGTTGCTTAGGGTAGTCAGAAGACTCTGCATTTTGTCAGCGTCTTCACCAAATGAGACCTTAAAAGTCGTCCCAACGCTGGACCCAACTAGATCACATCGCCATCAGCCACCGATGGAGAGGTTCGATAGAAGACGGTCGCTCGTTCTGGAGCACATGTTTAGATTCAGATCATGCCCTAGTGCGAGCGCGTATTTGTTTGAGGCTTACTGGACATAGGAAAGACACCGTAAAGAAGCCTCTTAGGGTTCTACTTCATGATAGAATAACTAAGAATGTATTTCAGGAACAAATAGAAAGACAGGCGACCATGTAGTAAATGATGCCCACCATCGGGCAGCTTGGAATGATATCAAAGAAGCTGTGAAAACAGCAGTGATACCTGCTAGTAAGGTAAACCATATGACCAGGAAGAAGCCGAGGATCTCAGTAGCATCCACCGAACTTATAGACGCTCGTAAACTCATCTCAGCTGGCTCTGAACATGATGAAGAGCGAAGTCAGCTTACGCGCAGGCTGATGAAAAGCCTACGAAACGACCGTGAACAATGGTGGGCGGCGAAAGCGGGAGAGGTGGAAAAGGCAGCGGCGATAGGCAACAGTAGACGACTTTTCCGACTTATCAAGGAAACTGGTATTAGGAATCGTAGTGTAAGTGAGACTATCTCGGAAAAGGATGGGACTATTATTTATTCTCAATCCAGGAGACTGGATCAATGAGCAGAACACTTAAGCGATCAGTTCGACTGGCCTTCAGCCACACTTCGTTTACCCACAATCTCCAGTCTTCCTGAATGGCGATTCGACGTAAGCCCTCCGAACCGTTATGAAGTTGAAAAAGATATAGGAAATCTAAAGCGAGGGCGAGCAGCAGTCAGTCAGTTGCAACGTAGAACTTCGTACGTATGTACATAAGTTCATGTTGCCATACCACATTATTAGCACAGAGACGCAAATGTCAAATCAAATCCCATGGTGATAAAGATGGTAGAGGTATTAATGTTATAATAAAGAAGAAAGACAAAGGTAGAGGTGCTGGCTAATCCAGAAGATTAGGATTTGAGAGAGCTCAAAGAGTGGATGCACCTGCGCCATTGCAAACGATTTTGAGCCATGTCGTTCAAGGTCTCTAACCATTGATGACTTTCGTCTCGCGGACCCCAACCAGGTAGTCTACATCTACCAACATGACTCAGTCCACTTGTCAGTGACTTCATGGATTTCTGCCATGTTTTGGTCTGGCCGCCCCTAGCTTTCTTCCAACCTACTCCTACACCACAAAACATAGCTCGTCGAGGCAGTCGGTGGTTAGGCATACGTAACACATGTCCCAACCACCTCAACTGATGAAGTTTCACCACCATTGATCTGCCATCCTTACCTAGTACTCGTTTCCTAACGACAGCATTGCTTACTCGGCTGTCCCACGATATACGAGCAATGCTTCGAAGACACCTATGATCGAATACTAGTAACCTACGAACATCTTCTACTCTTAACGGCCATGTTTCACAGCCATATAAGAGAACGGAACGAACTGCTGCGCAGTACACCCGCCCTTTGGTTAGCGAACGGATATCACGCCTACGCCATAAGTGACGCAGGTTGGCAAAAGCCAATCGAGCTTTCTGTATCCGAGCTGAGATTTCGTCAGTCACCAGACCGTCAGCACTGATGAGACTCCCCAGATAAGTGAAGTGATCTACACGCTCGACTACTTCACTCCCTATCACTAGTTCAGGTGCCGAAGCAACCCAGTCTTGAAGCAACATTTTGCATTTCGAGGGGGTAAACCGCATCCCGAACATGCTCGCATTGTTGCTTATGGTAGTCAGAAGACTCTGCATTTTGTCAGCGTCTTCACCGAATAGAACTATGTCATCGGCATATTCTAGATCAGTAAGCGACTTTCCTGGTAGAAGGTCAACCCCTGAAAAATCTGACGAGCTTAATGTTAACTCTAAGAGGATGTCTACGACAAAGTTGAACAAGAATGGAGAGAGTGGACAGCCCTGACGGACACCACTTGATGTAGAGAATTCAGATGACAGTTCGCCATATGCTCTCACCCGACCAGTGGTGTTCGAGTAGAGTGCTTGTATAAGGTTAATGTACTTCTTTGGTACACCTTTCAATGACAGACACTGCCACAGAACCTCACGATCCACTGAGTCGAATGCCGCCTTAAGGTCCAGGAACACGACTATTGTCGGACGTCTAAATGTGTGTCTGTGTTCCAGGACCTGTCGTAGTGTGAAGATGTGGTCTATACAACCACGTCCAGGTCGAAAACTAGCCTGGTTTTCTCGAGTCTGCTCTTCGCGAGCTCTAGTTAGACGTCTAAGTATAATCGAGGCTAACAATTTAGAAACTATATTAGTTAAACTTATTCCCCTGTGATTGTCACAAGAGGACTTCTGTCCTTTCTTGTAGATTGGGACAATTAGCGACTGAGACCAGTCAGATGGGATTACGTCCATTTCCCAGATTCTACCTAGGATCTCGGTCAGTCTAACCGTTAAAACTGGACCACCATCCTTAAACATCTCAGGGGTAAGCCTATCGGGACCTGCCGCTCTACCTCTCCTTAGATTTCCTATAGCTTTCTCAACTTCATGTAAACTGGGAGGACTTAAATCGATTCGCCATTCAGGATGACTGGAGATCGTGGGCAACCGAAGAGTGGCTGAAGGCCAGTCGAACTGATCCCTAAAGTGTTCTGCCCATCGGTCCAGCCTCCTAGATTGAGAATGGATAATAAGACCATCCTTTTCCGAGATAGTCTCACTTACATTCGGGTTCTTAATACCAGTTTCTTTGATAAGGCGGAAAAGTTGTCTAGTGTTGCCTATCGCTGCTGCCTTTTCCATCGCTTTTGCTTTCGCCACCCACCACTGTTCACGGTCGTTACGTAGGCTTTTTATAAGTCTGCGCCTAAGTTGAGTACGCTCTTCATCATGTTCAGAGTCAGGTGGGATGCGTTTTCGTGCATCCATCAGTTCGGTGGATGCGACTGAAATCCACGGCTTCATCCTAGCCTTATGGTTTACCTTGCTAGCAGCAGGTACTGATAGATTGACTCCTGAGATTTTAAAGGATGGTGGTCTAGTTTTAGCAGCTAGGTTGACCGAAATCTTAGGTAGAATCTGGGAACTGGACATAATCCCATCCGACTGGTCTTAATCCCTGATTGTCCCAATTTATAAGAAAGGACAAAAGTCCTCTTGTGACAATCACACAGGAATAAGTCTAACTAATATAGTTTCTAAATTGTTAGCCTGGATTATACTAAGACGCCTTACTAGTGCTCGAGAAAACCAGGCTGGTTGCAGACCTGGACGTGTCTATATAGACCACATTTTCACTCTGCGACATGTCCTGGAACATAGGCACACATTTAGGCGTCCTACAATAGTTGTGTTCCTGGACCTTAAGGCGGCATTTGACTCAGTGGATCGTGAGGTTCTGTGGCAGTGTCTGTCATTGAAAGGTGTACCAAAGAAGTACACTAACCTTATACAAGCTCTCTACTCGAACACCACTGGTCGCGTGAGAATCTATGGCGAACTGTCACCGGAATTCTCTACTTCGAGTTCAGGGATGTCCACTTTCCCCATTCTTTTTCAATTTTATAATAGACATGCTGCTAGATATAACATTATCTTCATCTGAATGTTCAGTAAAATCGCTCACTCACCTAGAGTATGCCGATGACATATTCCCACTTGGTGAAGACGCTGACAAAATGCAGTCTTTTGACTTCCCTAAGCAACAATGCAAGCATGTTCGGGATGCGGTCCGTCCCCTCGAAATGCAAAATGTTGCTTCAAGACTGGGTTGCATCGGTACTTGAACTAGTGATAGGGAGTGAAGTAGTCGAGGGTGTTGATCACTTCACTTATCTTGGGAGTCTCATCAATGCCGATGGCCTGGTGACTGACGAAATCTCAGCTCGGATACAGAAGGCTCGATTGGCGTTTGTCAACCTGTGTCACTTATGGTCCAGGCGAGATATCCGCTTGTTAACCAAAGGACGAGTGTACTGCGCAGTAGTTCGCTCCGTCTTATTTTATGGCTGTGAAATATGGCCAGTGAGAGTAGAAGATAATCCTAGGTTACTAGCTTTTGATCATAGGTGTCTTCGTAGCATTGTTCGTATATCCTAGAACACCCGAGTGAGCAACGCTGTTATTAGGAAACGGGTGCTAGGTAAGAATGGCAGATCAATAGATGAAGTAATGAAACTTCATCAGTTAAGTTGGTTGGGACATGGGCTGCCTATGCCTAACCACCGACTGCCTCGACGAGCTTTGTTTTGTGGTGTAGGAGTAGGGTGGAAGAAAGTTAGGGGCGGCCAAACCAAAACATGGCACAAATCCATGAAGTCATTGACAAGTGGACTTAGCCATGTTGGTAGTTGTCGACTACCTGGTTGGGGTCCGCGAGGTGATAATAATCGATGGTTAGAGACCCTGAATGACATGGCTCAAAACCGTCTGCAATGGCGACGGTGCATTTATTCTTTGTGTTCTCTCAAGTCCTAATCTGCTGGCTTCTTCAACCCCTCTGGTTTTGACTTTCTAAACTTTTCTCACGGAATCATACTTCTTGAATAATATCTTCTAATCCTAACCTCTCCGATTACTTCTAATCCCTTTACTACCTCTTCTTCCATTGGATTTGTATCGAAAATTATACCTCTGTGCTGATGTGGTATGGCAACATGAACTGATGTACTTACGTACGAAGTTCTACGTTGCATCTGTCTGACTGGCTGACTCTGACTGAGAGGTGCTGAGGAATCCAGAAGATCAGGATTTGAGAGCGCTCAACGAATGGATGCTTCTTTGGTCCTTTTAGTTACATTTAGCTATGGTTTTAGATCATAGGTGTCTTTGAAGCATTGCTGGAATATCCTGGAACAACTGAGTAAGTATTGTCGGCGTTAGAAAAAGGATACTTGATACGGATAGCAGTTCAGTTAATGATGTATTGAATCTTCAGCAGTTGAGGTGGTGTGGGCATGTGTAGCGAATGCCCAACCACCAACTTCCTGTAAGAGCGATGATGCCTGGTGTAAGGGTGGGCTGGAAGAATGGTTGGGCCGGTGAAACCGAAACATGACACAAATCCATGAAGTCATTGACAACTGAACTAAGCCATGTTAGTAGGTGTCGACTACCTGGTTGTGGTCCGCGAGATGCTAGTAATTGATGCTTAGAGAAATCGAACGACGTTGCTCAAAATCGTTTGCAATTGCGCAGATGCATCCACTTTTTGTCTACTCTCAAATTCTAATTTTCTGAATTCCTCGTGACGTTTTTCCTCTTTCTAAATTTATTTCAGTAGATTATACTTCTTTAATAATATCTTCGAACCGTAATCTTCTCCATAACTGCTAATACCTCAACTGCTATGTGATTTCAATTGAAAATTCGATCTCTGTGTGGTAATGTGGTATGGCTACTTTAACTGATGTTCGTACTTACGTATGAAGTTTTACGCTGACTGACTGATAGTTCTCAGATCTACAGTCTATGACTTCATGAACAGAATCTTATTTTTGGATTTGTCCTGATAATTTTTCACAATATTCTAAATCAGTTAGCATCGGCTGTATAAGTAGTTAATGGTCAAGTTTAAGTATCACTTGTTTCTAACGTCTAAGCAGGCGATTCACAGCCTCGTCAACTGATTCCTCAAAAATAACTACGAATTATCTCTGCTTTCAAAAACCACGTTTAATACTCATCGGAAATGACAAAAACCTCCTGTCCAGTACACCTTCATCGCTTAGTAAACATGGATATCTTGTTTACACTATAGTTGACGCTAGTCGCATTAGCGTCGTAATCTTTTTGGATCGGTATCAAGTAAGTAACTTAATGTAAGTAGGTTTGAAATCGCTCAAATTTTTTTAACCCCAAACAATTACTTTGTTCAACACTTAACTGCATTTCTTTTTAAGCACCTTGTGACACGCTTGAGAAATCCCTTCGAAAGATATCTGGTCGGACTGATGGTAGTTGTAGTCGGTTCTATAATTGAGTTTGCACTTTGTCTTTTCTGACTTGTAAATATCTGTCCTCACGTTTTTCTTTTGACATTTTTCTTCATACTGCTTAAAAGTGCACCATTGCGCAGGGTCTCACATTATTTGGCTACATTCAGTGTCTGAGAACTAAATATGCTATTATTCTACCTGCTACAAAGCAAAGAGAGGGCAAATTTAGAGGTAATCTATATAGGAAGCACATCAATGCCAAAGGAGATTGATAAATTGCAGTTCTAATCATCAGTGGGAAGACTTAATTAATATAAATGCATTCAAGGCAAAAATAGTTCGAAATTAAAGTTCTGGTGCTTAAACCCTTAGGTCATAGCATTTAAAATGATGTTAAATATTTCATCAACTACTAAGCACTACTTTTAGGTCTCAAAGAAGTTCAGTTAATTTTGTGTCCGTATATCAATCTTTATTACTATTTTTTCAAAGGTATGACGAAAAAGAAAAATTCATCAACCTAGCCGTATTATTGATTGCCTCCAACTGTTTATTTATCCACTTTTGTTGACTTATACCGGGCTGGAAGTTTATCTTAGCATCATAACTTGTTCTTAACTCCATTAATTGAGACCAACTTTCCATCTTTAGACAGATCACTGGGAGATTCAAGATAGTTCATTTACATGCTCACAAATTCAGTCTGTTCTCAGCTAACATCAGAGTTTTAACCATCACTGCAAATGTGGTCGCAACTTTGTCTAAAGTAAATGAAATGCTACGGGCAGTAAACCACTAAAATTTCTTTTATATACAATCGATTTTACGTATTCAGCATGTTTGAACCATACTACCTAGCGACCACAAAACTTATTTCACCATTAATCACAGGTCTTAAGGATGTAATGAATTGAAACTCAGTAATAATAGAGATTATTTATAATTCGGGTTTTTAGCGTCGTTTTTTCATCACTGAAATTATATGTGTTTCAATATATTTACTAATGTTAATAGGTTTAGTTCAATTCATTATGGCCGACACAAATTCCACCTCAAAAGAAAACAAACATATTGACATGGATAAAAAAGGAATACCAAGGGCTGAGTTCATCGAAGATGTAGATGCTTACATGAAGGCCAACAATTTTTCTACGCTTATGGAAGCTGGGCGTTCTTTCGAAGAATTATATCAAAAATACAAAATTATTGAGCAGGCTCTATTACAGCGTAAAATAAGATTAATGCAACAATTGCCGGATATACAGAAAACATTGGCTGTTGTCCGACAACTACAAAAACAAAACACCAATTTAGATGTAACATTTGAAATATCTAACCAGTTGTTTACTCGTGCTCATATTCCCAAAGCAGATAGGGTTGGTTTATGGTTGGGTGCCAATGTTATGTTGGAGTATGATCTTGAGGAGGCTGACAAAATCCTAGTTGAAAATGAACAATCAGCTCAACAGTCCTTGCAGGATGTAGATCAAACATTAGAATTCCTTAAAAATCAAACCACTACAGTTGAAGTCAATTTGGCCCGTTTACACAATCTGTCTGTAAAACGTGGGCGTCAAAATCAGGCATCTGAGGTAAATACATAAAGGAGACGATGTGGTGGCATTCTGGAAAGAACTATTGAAGAGTAGTCTCTTACCTGCCTATGTATAATCTAACGGCTTTCTCGTGTATATTATATAGGTTTCTTTGGTTTTACATTTGTATGAGTAAACTATGCTTCATATGCAAACTACAGATTGCTTCAAGAGTTTTTTAAAGTCTCACAGTCTCCTACTTTTTTCAATAAATACTTAGTTTTGTGTTCCATGTTTCTAGGGATTTCCTAATTTTACTATATTCTCAAGAAATTTTTCAGTACTTCGCTTGTTTCCAATCGAAATAATTACCTGTAAAAAAGTCTGAAATCTTTGTTCAAACGTTATCTCACTTACTGTCAAAACCATCACTCTGAGTATTGTGCAAATCTCTTTCATATTGTTTTAATTTGCAATCATTTCGTTCAATTTCGATATCATCAAAAGATCTTGATTCTTCTCACTAACGATAGGCTAAAGTATCTAAAGGAAGTGTATTCTATTAGTTTATAGGCTTACTCAGTTAAATTTACAGCAAGTTTTAATTTACTTCGATCAGTTTTAGTTGATTTATGTGCTTCTTGTGCAGTAACGTGTATTACTTGATTAGTGTAAGAATGTGATTTTTTTGTTACAGGTTAACATGCGAGTGCTTTATTCAAAAAATAGTGACAACCTGTTACCTTATTGTTTTTAAAATCATATAGTTGACGGTCGGGATTGTCAATAAACTGGAAGAAATTATGTTTTAATAAGTCATTTCGCTGCAGGTACTAAGGCAAAGCTTGTCAACAAAGTTCTAAGCATACATTTAACAAAGCTTTTTGGTTAGGTTTTAGTAGCTTCTTGATAGTTAGCTTTTCATCTGTCCGGTCCAGGCGAAGTTTTGAAATAATTTTAGGTTAACGCACAAATCTACTCTCACACAGTTTAAGGTACGTTTATTATTATCGTTTATCAGAATGTGTCGCTTTGAAAGAAGTTCGGTTGCACAAATATGAATTAGGACAATTTGTAATTGATTCCAGAATGAAGGTGGCAACCTACACTTGTGCCCTAATAATTTTATTGTCTCTACTCTACTTTCATTTTGGGTTCTCACGTAAGAGGTTACTGATTAGAAAAGACATGTACTCCTTTATCTATGTAGAGAGTTGTTTATAACATTCATTTTAACAGTAGTGTGATGTAAGGTGTGAATAAGATTAATGCATTTATCTTAGTGTTAGTTTTAGTATGTGTACCACCGAAGCGATCATGTGTAGTATCTTGGTGTTAGTGGGACATAGATGGAATTAAAGCATGACTACGTTGCTGCGCGCTGATTGGCTAACTTCCTATCCAATCAGCGCCTGATCGGGTCTTGGAGAACAGGGTAGAAAGTTCTCGTGTTGTTGGCTGCACGCTGATTGGCTAAATCTAACCCAGTCGATCACGTGAATTACAATCCAGAAGCTTCTCATGAAAATACTATAAAGAAACTAAAATTGTATCTATTTCTCCTTCGGCTTCTTATTTCCATTTAACCTTGCTATTTGGAATATAATCTTTTCCTGTTCAGCCGTGTTTTTGATTCTTTGGAACTTGTCCAGTGTATTGTGGTCAGAGAATACTAAGCAATAGGATTTAGCTGGAAATTATGCAAGCGAGCGTTACAATACTTAGGAATGGGAAAGTATGTGGTGTGTTCTATATATTTCTAAGAAGATTTGATGAATTTGCTTCGTAACATAAAATTAGCTTACTTTTGTCAGGTTCATACTACAATACTTAGTCTTCTTCATATTGCAGTTTGTATTAAGAAAGTGTATTTGAAACTCTTCATCTTCCAAATATATTTGTTTCGGGATTGGTTTAAATCTTCATTCATCTAAGACGTTACATAAGCATTATTCGGTTGCCAACTGGAGAAATATTGTCCCTAATTTGGAGTTCTTTGATTTACAACACAGGAAATCGAAAATATATATCTATCATAACAAACATAACAGATGAGTACTTTGTGTTACTCTACAATTGTGTCATCACTATTGAAAGTCACAGACATGAGGATGACTTTTCGCCAAGTACGAGGATTCCGTTTCTTAAAAATTCAGTAAACCTTTAAATAAGTGCAGCGGAAAAATTCTGAGTTGTTTATACCGTATTGTGTCTCAGTCATACAGACTGATTTTTTTCGTAACAGCTTGTAGAATCATAAATTTAAAACATACTGAAAAGTTATAAATTCAATTAAGCAGTTGTGTATTGAAATATCTCAACTGATCCAATATATTGTTTAATATACAAAATGTTTTAAATATGACAACGTCCAGGTAACCAAAATTTTCAGTTTTTTAACTTCATATATTTCGGTTCTGATTAATTTTCCACAACAGTATTGTGTTTGTTAACTTTAGTTATGTCTGTAATCAAAGTGAGTTGTTCAAGAATCCTGCGTCCACATAACCTTTGTGTATGATAAGTAAAAATCTATAACTAGTATTTCAAGGAGAAAAAGTATGCGAGTACAACTTACATGGTATCCTGATAATGAAAATTAATGTCACATATGAATTGTAAATTACGTTCAAATTGGCACGGCTACTATTGAACAGACATCTATGTGCCAATAAATAAGTCAAAATCAAGTGATATATATATGTATATAGTTCTAGTCAGTGTAGATGCCTTATGCATAGTTCCAACCTTTAAATACTCATTATCACGACTGAAATTCTGGTGTGCTCTTTTTTGGTAATGCGTTTATAGCAGCTTCGTATAAACGTTTCCTGATCTCCGTTACATGAAAATAGTATTTACACAAAATTAAGCTGATTGTGGTTGTACAGGGTTGGATTGGGCAAGTGTTTTCGATGATGCTGAAGAAACACATTGTACAGGAGTCTATTTTGACGTACTATCTTGTGAATGAGACTAAGACTATCAACTCAAGAAACCCTAGTTTTCAGTAGAATACTTGCTTAGATTCCGACAACCAAACTGTATTATCTTAACGTGAATCAAGAGCTAAAGAATACTGCTCTATAAACGCATGCTGATAAGGCTTATGTTATTAATGAACTATTTTCTTGACAGTACTTTGTCTCCCAATGTTCATTCATCTCCGCATACTTTTTCTTCTGTTTCTCCTCCTCCTAGTTTTAACGTCTCTTACCGACAGCTAATCTATTTTGGATATTCTGTTTTGTGTAGACAATCTAAAGTTACCAAGCTGTTAATTTCTGATACTTGTCACCGCATGTGACAAGTAAAGCAGGTATTATCTAGCCGTCTAATGGCTTCTAGACTAGCTCATCGTATAATCCCAAGTTTTTTGTAGTGTCTTTACGTCTTACTTGATGAACCCACCACATCATTGTCACACAGTTAGTGAGAACTATGCATGTAAAATTTTTAAGTACAAAATTTAACAAAGCATACATTAAAATTAAAAACTTAATGGTCAAAAGGAGATAGAAGTATCCACTTTGTGATTAAAAGCTTTTGTAAATCATCTAAAATACTATAAGCAGAAAGACGTCTCAGGTAACCAACTTTTTGGAAATTCAGTCAAAAATGCTACCGTTTTACGTCAGCTTCTGAGTACATTCTAATCGAAATGTCGCTTTACTTCCTAGGAATCCACTTATCTTCATTTACAATATTCAATCAACAGCATATTTCCTATTTCAAAGCAAAAAGTTGAGGTGGAAGTGTTTTATTGATTAACCAAAAATATTTATTGAGAAAAATCATTTGTTAAACAACACTTTTTACGAATAGATCGACTACGAAAGCTAATAACGAACTCAGCAGAAGGAAAATAACATTCTTAAATTCTAGAACTTTTGAGGAGGATTAGATAACAAATTGTTGCATTTTCACACAAAATGTTATCGAAATCCTTTAATAATTCATCTCTACGATTTCCCGTAAGTTAGTTGCATGTGTCATTATCATATAGATTTTCCAAGTAGTAAAAGTAGATTACATCTAGCGAAACATGTTAATATTCACCAAAAGGTTAAAATCAATCAAGTAGGGGTAAACAGGTTTAATTAGTAAAAGTCAGTAAGTTTAGCAAATGATTGGACTGTTATTCAGTGAATTTTTACAGTGGTAACCAATTTACTCAACAGTCAAAATTAGTTATGCCGACAGTTACACATGAGTGTTAACATTTGTTACTGTTCAAAAAGGTAAACAACTTTACCCGGTGAGTATAATTTAAAATTATGAGAAGATTAATTAAGGATGATTCTATCTGAACTAACCTTGTACTTGAAACTTTATCATTTGTTAGTTGATGGACAACTTTCAATAAATGCTCCATTCCATTGACTCCTAATCGTTTAAATAATATAGTACTTTTTTTTCCAGTTTGTAACTTTTTGCAAAATATGTATTCTAGCATTTGACCAATTGTGTTTCGTCGGATATTACTACGCATAAATTTGTCCCATGAATTCGTGCACATTATTTGTACAGCGATTGCTTCATCTATACACGATATAAAGGCCTCTAATGATTTGTACGATTCTTGTCGTAAGAATTTCGTACTGGAATCTTCACTAATACGACCCAGTAATGTTGTGATGATTACCTCTGCATGTGAATTGAATAGGTGACCTTGTTTTATAGCATTTAAATAATTACATAAAAGCCGAATGGTTTTTAAACCCTTCAACGAAACCTGGATTAAGTAAATATTGAGTTGTTGAATAGAATTTTTTTATGTAGAAATAATGAAATATATGGTATAAATGAAAACTTGAACACTTCAGTAAACGTGAATGAATGATACAGAAAGTTCTGATAAAATTAAGTGAACGATCATATCTAATGACAAATATTTTAGCTGACTGATTAAGGATAATTGATATACGTACAAGACGATGGATTTTCTTACGGTATATAGAGGGAACTAGTTCAATTTTCAGATAAGATTTTAACAAATCCTTGTGACTACTGTTTACTAATCAATGAGAAATCAATCTCCGTATAAGGGTGGTTATGATTCTCTCGCAAGAATAAACAATCATTTATAAGGTAACAATTAACACTATATGTTAAACAACGAGCCACTGTCTGCTTAACGATAGTCATATACTTGATAGATTTCCTAATGATTAATTTGCTTTCCTCAATTTTAAGAAGAGTTCAATAAAAAAAACTATGGGAGGATCATAACTAGCTTTTATCCAAAGCCAAGTTTCATAAAATCTAAAGCTACAGGATTTCATGATCTCTTGGACTCCTAATCTTCTGGATTCTTCAGCACCTCTACCTTTGTCTTTCTAACCTTATCTCACTGAATTATATTTTTGAATAATATCTTAAACCCTAGTCTTCTTTATTATAACATTAATACCTCTACCATCTTTATCACCATGGGATTTGATTTGACATTTGCGTCTCTGTGCTAATAATGTGGTATGGCAACATGAACTTATGTACATACGTACGAAGTTCTACGTTGCAACTGACTGACTGACTGACTGGACTCCAACAGAAGATGAGTCGTGTTGAGCCCACAAGTCCCAGTCAAATACAGCTTTCGTTTATTATATGTTGTCATGTTATAACCTGATCACCTTTCTTTCTATCTAGTCTCAGAGTCCGTAAATAATGCAGTGTATCTAAGCTACCGGAATGGAATTCAATGCGACCTAATAAAGTTGTTGTCCTAATGTAGCAATACCAATTTAATTACTGTAAATTTGATCATCCGGACTATAAAACACTAAGATGATGTTGCTTTCGAGCATCAGAAATTTCTCGGAGAGGATGATGATCTAATATATATTGTCACCAAACATCCTCAGCCCAGAGATGACAGACTTTACAATCATTGATAAGGAATGCTCTCATCGATAGGGGTAAAGCATGGATTGAGCTAAACATTGAAATAATCGTAGAGAAGCATATATGTTCCCTCATCATCTTGACGCACATGCATATCATTGGTTTGAAGCCAGGGTTTTTAAGACACCTAGGTAACCCTTTTTTTATTATTATCTGGTTTAAGCGTTAAACACCTGCTTCCTTGAGTACGTTCCTGACATGTAAAAGCAGTGAGTAGGAATTCCCTGACAAAATCTGTAGACAGGTAGCCTTATAAGACCATTTTTAAAAGGAGAGCGAAACCGCTCTCAAGCGCCTTTGTCTAGGGATTTTCGGATGTTTACAAACTTGTGTTGTTTGACACTTGTGTGAGTCACCCAATGAGTAACAACTTCTTTTTGAAAAATTCACAAGTCTTAGCTTACTTGTGAACGTAAACAGGTAACAGTTTGTTCAATTCCACGAACAAGCATGCTTATGTGTTGTGGATTACTGAATAAAATCTCTAGTGACTTGACGTTCATTGTTTCAAGTAGGTTTTGTATAATGTCTGCAGCTTTGATCTGTTCTTCCCAATTATCAGATGTTATATATTCAATGATTTCTTTCTCAACGGTTACTGGCTTATTGATCAATTTATAACGATTAACAGACTTCTTTATCACATGTGAATCACTTTTAATTCCTTCTTTATATGATGATGAGTACTTTGATTTCCTCTGTCCTGGAATAATTTGTTCTTCTTGACTGAATAGCAATACAAAACATGAAATACATGTTAATCACAATATCTGTTGAAATAAGAATTTATCATAAGATAACCTCAGAAATTATACAAATATCTGTTCCAGAAAAAATCTCGAATATAAAAATTAAAAACGAATTGAATACATGATTATGAACCCATTTTTGATTAAACATTCTAACTAAAGTGTTCAAAGGAGTGATTGTAAAATCCCATATGAATGCTCATATTATGAGTGCATTTTGTAGCAATTAAACAAGATGTATCGAGATGAAACTTAGAGAATCACTACAATCATAAGCAGCTGTCGACACTGGGCATGGACCATAGATAATGACCTACTGTGACAGGGAAAAAATCAGCTTTCAGTTAAGGATGAAATTCTGAGATGCTGGAGGTGGATATCACACTCTTTGCAGAAACGTTACTATGTCCTAATATAAAGTAGATGATGGTTTAAATCCCAAAAATAGCTTCAGTCCCATCCCCAAAAAATTGCAGACAACCATTATTGACAATTACCAATTGGCATGAAACCCAGATCTGGGGTATCCTACCGACTATCTCTAATCACCTAATGTCAAACATTGTGCACATGATGTCGAGTCATTTAGACTAGTGTCTATGTCGATAAAAAATGACCCATACAAACAAACATGATATTGATCAATATCTGGTGATCAGCTAATATTATTATTATAGCCTATTTAGATTTTGAAAGTCAATAAACTAAGCTAAATATAGTCAATATTTTCTGGGATCAATTCAACTGTTAATGCATTTGGATATTTACTTCATTCTGAACACAGAACAGCAATTAACACATATAGTTGGATTTTCAACAGACCACTGATTGTATACATTTGTTCTTTACATCGGTCACAATATATGCTGCATTGTGAGATTATTACTGTAACAATTATAGATATCAAGATATTTGTACACATAAATCAGAAGATTAATTGTTAACACGGTCTACAGAATTTCGTTGATGATAGCAAGTGGATGACAAAATGAAAGTTATTGTTAGTTTTTATACAAAATTTTCCAAACAAGTTTTTTCTTATTTATTAAAATTTATTTAAAATAAAAGTTTTAACAGCAGTTTAGACATTTATCGAAATATAACATCTAATGAAGACAGTATTAAGGGATCATAATTTATACTTGTACCAGGCCAGTAGTAATTAAAGATGAAAAAGAAATCCTGATTTCATGCAGGATTTGAATTATCTTTCAAAAATGATAACCAATCTGGTACTCCATTTAATATAAGTTTTAAAACTGAATCGGTAGTTGATGTGAAGCTGAGAACCTTATGAACTATTATTTATTTGCATGAATTAAATTGCCAGTGGATCAGTTCAAGCAATATTGGAAAACAGATTTTCTTTTGCTTCATTTCATTATTCTCATATGTAAAGTTGTACATTTTCAAGAGCTAATTTGTCAATGGTCATTAGAATCTATTCAATGTTTAGAATCAGTTAGGTTGCTTTCCGACTGCATGTCTATTAGAACTCGTTTCTGGGTGCTTTTAAGCTCATTTTTACACGGTCTTGTAGGCAGCACAGATTCCGATACTGTCATAGTTTACCTACCAGCTAATCACATAAGAAAAACCCGTGAATTATTTTTAAAGAAGACCATATCTTTATTCAATTTAGTAATAGTAAGCAGTAATGTTAGTTCCATGCTGACTTATTGTAAACTTCTTCAAAGTAACACTTTAAGTTATTGAGGGAAAAAAGATAATAAGTATTTTTGCATTCTTAAAACACATTCATAAGCTCAAAAAATCATTCAATTTATAAATAATCCGTAGAGATCCATGTTAAAAATAGGTTGAAACAATAATAAATATTGATGACTACCGACCTATAAATTAACATATCACGAAGTCGTGACGAACGTAGTGTGAATCCAATTCTGTCGTCCAATTTATCATGTGGACACTTGCCTATGTACACCTAGCCCGCTGACCTGGACCTTATTTTCTAGTTCTACCCAAATGTTTTCCATCTTCCTCATATCTGTCTCCAACATGCAACGTAATGTCTTATTTGGTTTTCCACTTTTGCCTTGACCTTGAGGATTCCATTTGAGGGCTAGCCTTGTGGTACGTTTGGATGATTTCCTTAATGTGTGTCCTATCCAAAACCGGCAGCCCTCCTTGATTTCTTCCGCTGAGGAGATTTGGTCTATTCTATCCCACAGTAGGTTGTTGATGATGGTGTCTGGTCAACAGATCCGAAGTATTTTGCTTAAACAACTGTTGATAAACACTTGTACCTCCCAGATGATGGTTTTTGTAGTTTTCCAAGTTTCCGCACCACAAAATAGAACTGTCTTGACATTTATATTAAAAATTCTGACTTTGGTATTGGTTGACAGTTGTTTTGAGTTCCAGATGTGTTGTTCAATCATATAAATGCTGCCCTTGCTTCGTTAAGACGTGCCTTCACATCTGCATCAGATCCACCTTGCTCGTCAATTAGACTGCCTAGATATGTAAAGGCTTCCACATCCTCCTAAACTTCTCCGTCAAGTGTGGCTTTGTTGGTGCGTGTTGTGCTGTATCAGAGAATCTTGCTTTATCCGTTTATGTGTGTTGAGACCTACTGCTGCAGAGGCCGCCGCTACACTGGTCGCTTTCCGAATTTATTGTTGTATGTGCGATAAAAGATCCTAATCGTCCAGCTGCATTGGAGCTATCCACTGTATCTCACGCTTCCTTTCAGATGTGGACGTCTTCACAATCAAGCTGACCACTAGAAGTAACAGAAGGGTTGAGAGTAATCAACAGTGCCTGATATCGGTCTTCACTTGGAACGAGTCTGTCAGCTGACCTCCCTACACGATCCCGCAGTATAGTCCATCATAAGAATTCAGTCAGATATTGACTGTCTTCTTAGGCCTGCCATAGTACCGAAGGAGCCTTCATAGTGTCATCCTGTCCACCCTGTTGAATGATTTCTCGTGGTCAATGAAGTTAATATATAGTGGTGAATTCCATTCAATTGATAGTGTCACGGCTTGGTCGGTATACGATCTATTGTTGCAAAACCCAGCCTGCTGATCTTGAATTTGGGCGTCTACTGAATCATTCTGTTTAATAATACTCTTTTCAAGAATTTTCCTGTTATTAAGATTGGAATGATGTCTCATTAGTTCTCACACTTGCCTTTCTTTGGTATCTTGGTGAAGTGTCCTACTTTCCAGTCTGTTGGTACTTGTTCTTGCTCCCAAATCTTGCTGAATGTTGCTTGGAGTATCTATGGGGTTATTGCTCCCTGCTTTCAGTGCCTCAGCTGGTATACTGTTTGGTCCTGCTTATCATCATTGAATAAAGAATATCGTCAAATAATAGATTAGTTAAGTTTTAAATCTTCAGATTCTACAACATTAACTAAAACTGATTGAGACTATATAATTCAATAGTTATCTATACTGAAGTAAATAAAACTCACTACATTAAAATAAATAAAATTACCTTAAAGTTGACCAGTGTTCGCCTGTAGATTGAATATTTTATCAGGAAAATAACGATTTGTTTAAAAGGAAAATAAATAAAATCCAGTGACCATAATCAACTGATTCAATTAGGTTGAAAATTTACGATTCATTTTAGTAATTTTGCGGTTTAATATTCATTGACTTACTCAGCTGGTAAAGTTTATTTCATTTTCAAATAAAAACATTACTAGATTCTTCTACGCCTTTCAAAAACAGTAATAAATCCTATACCAAACAATATCAAGGTAAATCAATCCAGTTTGACGTCGTATTAGTTCAGTATCTAGTAAGTTTGCCTTAATTGTGTTAGGTATCGTCTAAATAACAAGTCAGTTATCAATCGCTTTCTGTTCTAAAACCACCAAACTATTTCAAAAAAAAATCGAAAATGTTCAGTGGTCCAATAATTTATTTAGTAGTTCAGTATCATGTTAAATAACTAAATGAATTTTCCTTTAGTAGGTTGTTTTGTAGTCTTGTATTTTTTTTTTTTACAATTAGATTCGTTTCAATATTTATTACCCGAAAATATGTCAATCATTCGGTTAACACTTATAATAGTCAACACAACCATACAGAATTAATTAAAACAAGGAATCAATGAATAGTCAAAATCAACTGATCAAACATAATGAAAATCAACAGAATAAAGATCACACATGAACAAGAAAAATAGTATTTATGAACATGAAATCAATAGATTATATTTTTATACTCGTCTCTAGGTATGCTTAAAACTATTACGGGTTCACCTTAGTCGAATAACAAGAACAAAACAATGAACCAGCGTCCAGGTAGGCTACTGTGATCCGATTGTCCCAATTGTACCAGCAAGAAGTCTTGATTTAGCGTAGAAAGTTTATTTTACCAACCTCAAGCCAGCACACAAATCGCGTTTATTTATACTCCATAGAGACCTCCTTAGGACAGTCACAAAAATAGCACACTAAAATGACACAGTAACCAATCACAGCTAAGGATCTTCCTGGTGAGAAGCGTGATCTCAAGGTTAAGAGATCGGCCCATGAAATAAATCCAAAATAAGGATATTTATCAAGCGAGTTCTGAGGATCTAACATCCCCAACAACAGAATAAAGATAACACATGAACAAGAAAAATATTACTTATGAACATGAAATCGATCAATAAATTATTCAAAACTTTCAGAACATATGTTCCTGTAGGTTCGACCATACCAGGCAGGTCGATTGGAGAACGATCAGAGTAAAAGCAGCTACTCAGGGCGAAGTCCTACTGCTGACTGCAGAGGGGTGTGACAGCAGAAAGGTGTTTCCCTCAGACAACCAGCATCTGCAGCGATGCTGCCTTCTCACAAGGAAGGAAGGGTTAGAAAAGGTCGACCCCAAAATGTCACACCTTACCCTATCTCACGGATTTCCATCTCCGGCGATAAGGGTGCCCACTAAGGGCTTTCAAGAGAGGAGCTAATCCTCAAAAAGCCCTTCATAAAAATGCCGTGCGTGACCGGCCTACATCAGTTGTCCCTTGGACTCTGCGGTCACGCACCCAGGTCTCCAAGACCAACACTAATCTATGTTCCTTTTCAGGCTCCTCAAGAAACACCCTTCCATGGTGTGGGCAGCCGGGAAGTGGACACCGCCCAATAGGTTTGTGCCTTCCTAAGGGAATTAAATGAATTGTCATTTGTATATTCTGTAGATACTTCACTATATGCTAGAACTTGTTCGTTGAGACCCTTGAGGTTTACGATACTGTAAGGTCATTGGTGTGTTCACTCTTATAATTAATTTATATACACTTAAATCTCAAAGGTCTTTACGTCATAATTTAGCCGTTTCATCTTTAAATAATTTTTAAACATTTTTATTAAGACACGCTCATTTTTGCGGAAACATTATGAAAAAGATTTTGGTGACCATATTTAAGGATAAATACTTGATATATGGTTTACACTTTATCGATATATATACCAATTAACCATATCCAGTTGGGTTCACTGTCCATTGCAATCTTCACCCACTTATGCGTTAGTAACTATTTTAGTATTTTCAGGCTGACTTGGGATTTTTTCTCATTAAATGTACACAATATTATTGCTCATTCAAAAGGTGTTTGAATAGTTTAGTGTTGAGTATTATATTAAAAATGCAATTTTACTTTTCGACTGCTTGTGTGTAATCATGATGTATTAAATACATTTTTATTCGTTCATTCAATTATTGATTTATTCTTATGCAGCGTTCAAATTTATATTATGTATGCAAGTAATAAATTTGATCCCTGATCACATCACGTGTTAGCCTTTTGTTATTGATTACTTTCTGACTGATGATACACTTGTGGTTGAGGATTATCGTGTTACACGTGAAGTTTCGTTCACACAAATCATCCAGAAACTTAAGAGGAAAACATTTTAAATGTTTGACATAAAATACACCGAGCTTCATTACAAATTCTGCATTCATGCTGCATCTGCATCATCAAATTATGAGGAGGTTCATTTCAAGGTTGTTAGATACAAGTCATAACAGTGTGTTAGGATTAATAAACAGTTTTCCATATGATGAGGGTTTAATGTGAGTTCGTTTTATACCTCATGCTGCTGAATCGAAAATTGATCTTATATTCACGGTACACAAATTGGACATTGAAGAAACTGTTGTATTCCATATTCTCTATTAGATCACCGGTTATATACGTAGTCGTTACAAAAAGTACTATGTATTGTTTCTGGTTTTGTTAAAGGATCCTTTACCTACTTTGAACATATCCATAAAGTTGCAGGTTCTGTTTGTTTCCAGAATGCTTTCATTTGGAGTATCACTGAAAAAAAGTGACCATTAGATATATGCTTCGTTATAGCATTGGAATTCTCGGAAATGCATACCCACGACAGTGACAGGAACTAAACCCAGAGCCTTTAGATTTATCGCTTCTTAGCTATCTTTTCTGTGGCATACTATACCATCTACTAATACTCAGCAGTTTAAACTATGACTAAAAATACTGGTTAACCAAGAATTTCTCAAATAATCAACCAGAATGTCCGATTCCTTGAAGCTTTTGTTCTACCTTTGTTCTACCCTCCCTCCTAGAACTCACGCTTGTTCCCAACTTCATGATTAGATCACCCTTTGCAAACATGCTTATCACATACATGTAAATTTTGAGCGATCTACTGGTTATGTCATGATTTTCTGGTAACAAGTGGTCACCTTTTCTATAACCTACAGACAAGATCACACTTTTTGTAAAGTGAAAGATATCAATGATACAATCTGCATTACTAAAAAATACAGAGAGCATAGTTTCAGAATAACAGAATTTAAAATTTTAATGCGATTTGTGTGTCTGTTCGTTGATCATATGGATGACAGTGAGACAATACCACAGGATTATCTCTCGCTATTCAATCACCATATAGTTGAACGAAGAGTATGATACTAATAGTAGCAGTTAATTATGTTAATTAGGTCTATATTTTTTTTTAGACTGGTGAGTAGTTTATCAAATCCACATCAACACATGTTGATAGTCTGATTAAATGTTATTCATTTTTAAATGAAAATTCAAAGTTTTATTAACTTAAAGGTGCGGTTTATAAAATACGATTGTTATTATATTTATTTCACACTTTAGATATAGCACTTTTGCTATTTAAGAAAAAATCATATTTTCATTAAAATTAACATAGATCGGTCCACGATTTCATTGAAACTCAACAACCCTATACTAATAATCATATTTTACAATTTTAATTGGAGCTCTTAATAATCCAGACTTGTGAGTAATCATCTATTGAGATTGTTTCAGACGATTAATAAACAGAGTTAAACACTTTCGATCTATTATAACTCTACATCAATTTAGTGTAGAAGTAGGCACTTTCAAACACTAATTATTTCCGAGAGATAAGATTATATATACAGCTCCGAAAACTGAAACCTTTCTGAAAACACTTTGCTCCCTTAAATAATTTATTTTATTTTTTAATAGAGATCTCTTTTCAATATTTTTTCTGAGCTCCTTGAGATTAACAATTTTTTTTTCTTAGTAATTAGAAAATCTGTGTAACATATAGACAGATTCCTGGAGATGGTGACTTATTCTTAATTTACATGTAGTTTGCTGGGAAAATATGAGTAATATGAAATATCGAAAAAATAAAATAAAATAAAATAAAATTAACTGTTCTATCGATAATGAATCAAGGAATATATATTCTCAAATAATTGTTTCATATTATTTCTTGATATAATTGTAATTTTCAAAAGTTTACTTTATCGCATCAATTGCATTTATAGAAATGATAGTTTGTAATAAGATTTCATGGATTGTTGTCGTTATTTCACTTATAAAGTGAAATGAATCATAAACTTAAACCATAATGACGAAATGTGTGAAAAATTTATCATTCATGGGAAAGAAAACTTTCAATGAACATAACACTTACTCATGATTACTAGCTGATAACTTTTTAACATTCATCTTAGCCAACTGATTAAATAACCATTGTTTACGTCTTCTGGATACAGAATAACGTAAACTCTCCAGACCTCGATATATCTAAAATAGGGAAAAAAAACGGGTTTATTTAAACAAATGTATGATGTACGTTTAATTTAGTGCTTATTTTCATTAGAATGAAGCAGAAATGAAAGTTTAGTATATAGTTACTAATTAGAAAACAGTTCGTCAGTACTCTTATACAAATAATGTTAACTATTAAACATAGAATACAACATAGTGTACCAGATCAAGAAATAATGTAACGTTTTGTTGTTTGTTCTGAGATCAAAATTCATTTTTTAAAATTATTGTGGTGCCAGTTACTTATAAGTAGTATATGACGTGAGTGTCAACGTAATGTCTGGCAGCAGAAGATGAGGGAAGATCAAGAAAGGAAGAGTTAGAACACAATGGAATTTGTATGAAACGCATGAATAGTGACAATGGATTGATGTTTTGCAACAGGAACAGTCCAGTTCGATATGATGAACTGATATTTTGCAAATGAACGATTTACGATATGGTTTTCCGATTTTACTGAGTAACTCTGTAATTTTGGTAAAATACAATCCGGTTGCCCCACCTGTGTTCTCGTTCACTACGTTATTAGATTATCACCAATCAAATTACTCAGTTATCCTACTGATCACCATAATTGAAATTATTCATAATTTTTTAGATGAGGTTTCGAAAAGCGATAATGTTAACAGAATAAACAAATTTTTTATCAAGGTTGTGAGCTACTACAACTTTCATCCGCTGTTTAGATTTGTGTGACAAAAAGATCGATTAAAATGTGTTTCACAGCTAATAACCTTGAGTTAACGGTTAAGTTCTGATTATTTCAAGATCCTCCACGTTTAGTCTACTCTGTTCTATTATCTAGAAAGCATAAGCAGCGTCAAATGTAATAGTTCTTCAGACAGACGTGATTTATATGCAACAGAAGAGATCATATCTCACAATGAACAAGCCACAAAGTGTAGTTGTGATTAGAGGAGACAGTAAACAATCAACTGACAACAAATCAATGATAGTAAATCACGTAACAGCATTCAATATGTCAAACGAAAACTCTTGTGCTAAAATGGGACATCTCTACAGAATAATCTAGTTTCCTAGCCAGTTTATGGATAGTGATAATCCATAAGCTAGTCCTGGAAATTACGATCCTTTCAATGCCTTTCTTTCTGGCATGATATTAATCGAAAATGATAACAAGGCCTTTCTTCATATTACATTGATAGGTATTAAACAACATCTTTGATAATTGTTAAAAAACTTACACATATAAAATATGAAGTTGCAAAAATGTAAGTTAATGTACAATTTGAGGATGGTATCATTTTCAGATTGCTAAGTTTCCGATTTATCACTTCCTCAAATGATCAAAACAAGCATTTTTATAGACCATCTCTGTTTGATAAGTTCGTCACTTAGTATGCTTGAGGCTATTACGAGTTTACCTTAGTCGATAAATGCGAACGAGACTTTTACCAGCGTCCAGGTAGGCTACCTTGAATACCCAAAGTCGAAATAAAAGGCTTTGTAAGCGTAGAAAGTATATTCTACAAACACCCAGCAATCACAGTACAATCAAGCATACAACTCTCGTTTATTTATACAACATAGGAACGTTCTTGAGACAGTTAAGAAAATAGCACACTAAAATACACAGCAGCCAATCACAGCCATGGATTTTCCTGGTGGGAATTGAAATCTCAAGGTCAACTGATCAGCCCATGCTGGCAAACGTGAAAACCAAACTAAGGCAATTATCAAGCGCATTTTGGGGATCTAACTTCCCCAACACTGTTATCGGGATTATGTGGTCAAGAGCTTTCGGAAAATGTTTACAACGCAAATCACTATACCAAGTGCTTCACTGGTATGCATCTTCCAACTTATGATAGGACAAAAGGAAAGTATATTAAAATTTATGCACTAAAACGACTGCCAACTATAACGAATTCTAGATTCAGAGTTTTTTGTCGGCCGCCTTTAAAGATCTGACATCAATAAAATATTATTAATATAAAAATTTACGGCTATGCTTGATAATTAATCTGACAGTGATTTTAAAATTTTTATTTTAACGTTGCTGGACTATTTTCCATGATATAATCAAGTAACCATTCGTTAGTATGGGGTATTTCACAGGCTTGTTTAGACACAATGATAAAATGTTTGTTACCATTATCCATGAGTAATGAGGATATCACTACTTTCAAAGGTAGTATGATATAACAGGTTAACACTAAAATGACTGCAGTTTTAGATTAACGATTGACTACCAACTACTTGCTTAACACATATATTCTTTGATAGTTAAGCAAACTTTGGATTATCTTTCTCTCATTAGTGTCTAAAATAAATAGACTTTTATTTTGTGACGTAATCAAGTAATCTCTGGGTTTTATTTCGGGCATAATGTGGACTGGAACACACCGTTAAATGGCTAAATTTACGCACAAATCATATTACTCATAGTATCCTATCTAGCAATGGAGTTTTAGTTTGCTGGTTAACGCGATCTACTTACAACCAGTGAAACATAATTGTTCAATACGTCCTCATCAACTGAGATTTAAGTAAACTGTTAACAACAGTAACTTCAATCTGTTAGACGACTGTTTCAGCGAGTACAAAGTTAGCCCGTTTAAGGTTTGGGTCACATGTTCGCGATTACAAAACTGAAGCAGGTAACACTAACTTCTAACCTGCAATCTTTTGATTTAAAATCAGGTTATGGTATAATAATTTGACAGTTTCAAAAATGCATTACAACTACGACTAGTACATATTTTATTCTACATAGTTAATTTCAATAACTTGATTTTTACTGATTTGGTTATCACGGCTTATTATAACTATAATATTGCTGCATTGAAGATAAAAGTATAATTAGTTACTCATCAAGATTATTTTCACAATATTTAAGGTTTATTATAACAGAAACTTATTTAATGATGATAAAATATACAAGATATTTTTACAGTTACAACTTTCAATCATTTAAAAATACGATACAGATATGCCATGTTTTTCACGTTGATTTAAATTATTGAAATTCACTATTACTTTACCTGATTTTCAGTTGTACCGTTATACCAATTAACTGGACAATTTATTTCTTCTTCACTTAATCTACTTTGAATATCTGGTAATGTATTCATCATAGTGGTTAGTTCATCATGAGCTTTTTCTATGTATGGAAGACCATTCACACTTTTAACATGGTCTGATTGACATTTGTTCGGAGTGGAAAAATCATAAGTTTTCACTGTATCAATGCACCTCCTAAGTGATTCATGAACATCTGGTTTATGTGATTTCAAACGTTTACGATGTTCAGATATATGCAAATATGACCCATTGAAATGATTGTCTTTGTTCGAATCCAGTTGAGTAGTTGACATTTCCAATATATCAAATGTTTTTGAAGGAATTTGACTGACAGATTTATCAAGAGTATAATTTTTACAATCCAATTGATGAATTCCTTCAATATCTATAAAAAGTATACTTCACTGTGTAAAATACTAAATTCTATATAATCTATAGTTTTTTATAACAAACAATGACTTAAGTATTGAAGAGGTAAAAAATTTCGGAAAATAAATTTTTTGTCAACACTTAACCTTTTTAGTTTTAACAAATATAAATAACTTGAAGTATTTACTGACTCAACGTAGTTATATTGTTGAATATGCCATTTAAAACACTACGGTGTCTCTAGATCATCAGCTAACTAATTTCACATCTATTCATCTTGGATTCCTAATCAAAAATATTTTTCTTTTCAATCTTAGTAGTCGTCAATTGTGTTTGTTTTCTGGTTAAAATATACTTACAAAAAAAATCAATAGATACATCCATCTATAAATGGTTTGTACATGTACATGTACATGGTTTACCTCTTGCATTCTTCATTAGTTTGCCTTACTCATTAAGTATTCTCTTAATTTTATTCTAGTTACCTATCACCATCATAAGTAATACTTTTCTCGGAATAATTAAACCTTGACAATTTTAAAATATATATATTCGTATATAAGAAAGAATTTCTGTGGAAATAAATATATTGTTAATGGAATTTAACTTGCTTCAGATTTGTTTTCAGTTGTAATTATGGATCTTTTGGTGAAAAAAAAAACAACTACAAAGTGTGTTTACTTATGAAACAATTAAGAAAATACTTTAATACATACAATTGTGTTTTACATCATTTTCGAATTCTGGCAAATCCGTTAGATTATTGAAATTCTCATTGTAATCTTTTTTTTGTATAAATTTCTTTATCTTTTCTAACAAAAGATGCACTTCCATGATAGATATTTCGTTGAGTAAAAGATTTTCAATCATGTATAGAATTGATGCATTATATTTTGTATTATTTAAACCAACAAGAATTGCACAACATTCGGCTGCTGCTGACTGAACCTGTAGCATAAATGAGTGAATCACTTTTCAAATTAAGTAAATTCATTATTATTTATGATGAATACATTGAAAAAAAAATTGGTCATCATATACATTGATTCATTTTTCTATACTATCATTGATTAGTAGTTGTTTAGAAACTTTAAATTCTGCAACACACTATCATATTTGTTAATTTTACTTCATAAGATTCTTGATTAACTTTTACGCTCGATGAATCTCCGTTTTTCCATTAGTCATATTTACATTCTTTATGTTTCTCTTCAGTTTAATCTAACTTTTGTTATCCTTAATAATCTATTGTTATTAAAAATTATAGATGATGATTGTAAATCATTGAACCTATTCATCGACAACAACCAACATCGACAAAAGCATCTCTAATGAACCATTCATTTGCGTTTTGAGATATTTTCTGCTTAGTTAGAATAATTACAAATTTCACTTCATAGACGCTTCTGTAAAAGCTATTTGACAACCACACTTCTTAATCGTTTTTCAATCAGATGTATATATATAATCCAGTTCTACAGTATTAATCAAGGCAGCAATCATTTTAACATTGTAAAACAGTATGCTGATTCTCCAGTATTGAAAAACATTTGAAAACTAGCAACTAAAAGTGCATAAATCGACAAAAAAAGAGTGCTTAAAGCAACTTCACCGAGAACATTCACAGTCTCAATCACTAAATGATTTTAGCTAGACCACCATCAGAAACTTGGATGCACTAGATCGCCATTACTTCCTAGTAGAAGACTCATCAGCAATGCGTGGCCGCGGCTTTGCATACTGGAGTCGTACTCGACACTTCCAGTCTGACGCGCGAATGCTTAACCTTTAGACCAATGAATCGGCGTCCAGTGGTGTCATTATCTAACTGTATTCAATTCATGATCGTGCGTAACTTTCATCTACTGCCCGACGCGAATATCTGTCTTAGACTTTACGCGAATTGATTTCCACTAGTCACTGCTACTCACTGCAACCCCAGAAATAAATCTTGAAACTAATCACTATTGATCACATGACTGTTATTAATAAAAGAGATTTATAGTGATATTATTATTTTCACAGCTGAAGTCATGACCTGATCATAGCTAGACTGTCACTGAATACCTGAAAGATCTGAACGGCCTTTACAATCTCAATCAGACAATCAATCAATACCAACGTGGAACTTCGTACGTAAGCACATCAGTTCATGTTGCCATACCACATCAGCACAGGGATGTAATTGTCTATTCCAATCCAATTGTAGCAGAAGTAGTAGAGGTATTAGCAGTAGTCGGAGAGATTAGGATTAGAAAATATTATTCAAGAAGTAGAAACTATTGAAATAGACTTTAAAAGATAAACCTAAAGTGATAAAGAAAATAAAGGTTTAGGGTTTGAGAGAACACAAATAATAAATGCACCGTCGCCATAGCAAACGGTTTTGAGCCATGTCATTCAGGGTCTCTAACCATCGATTATTATCACCTCGCGGACCCCAACCAGGTAGTCGACAACTACCAACATGGCTAAGTCCACTTGTCAATGACTTCATGGATTTTTGCCATGTTTTGGTTTGGCCGCCCCTAACTTTCTTCCACCCTACTCCTACACTACAAAACAAAGCTCGTCGAGGCAGTCGGTGGTTAGGCATAGGCAGCACATGTCCCAACCAACTTAACTGATGAAGTTTCATTACTTCATCTATTGATCTGCCATTCTTACCTAGCACCCGTTTCCTAATAACAGCGTTGCTCACTCGGGTGTCCGAGGATATTCGAGCAATCCTTCGATGACAGTTCGCAATAGATTCTCACGCGACCAGTGGTGTTCGAGTAGAGAGCTTGTATAAGGTTAGTGTACTTCTTTGGTACACCTTTCATTGACAGACACTGCCATAGAACCTCACGAACCACTGAGTCAAATGCCGCCTTAAGGTCCAGGAACACAACTATTGTAGGGCGCCTAAATGTGTGCCTATGTTCCAGGACATGTCGCAGAGTGAAAATGTGGTCTATATAGACACGTCCAGGTCTGCAACCAGCCTGGTTTTCTCGAGCACTAGTAAGGCGTCTTAGTATAATCCAGGCTAACAATTTAGAAACTATATTAGTTAGACTTATTCCTGTGTGATTGTCACAAGAGGACTTTTGTCCTTTCTTATAAATTGGGACAATCAGGGATTAAGACCAGTCGGATGGGATTATGTCCAGTTCCCAGATTCTACCTAAGATTTCGGTCAACCTAGCTGCTAAAACTAGACCACCATCCTTTAAAATCTCAGGAGTCAATCTATCAGTACCTGCTGCTCGCCCTCGCTTTAGATTTCCTATATCTTTTTCAACTTCATAACGGTTCGGAGGAACTCCGCCAGTAGAACCTTAGGGGCTACTGCCGGTCCCAAGCCCGGATAAAGGAGGAGGGTTGGACATGCGGTTGGCGACCCCATTCCGTTGAAATCTCACTTGCCAAAAAAACGCTAACCAGAAAAAATAATTCAAACCATTTTAACTCTGCCCTGGGAGTTGGAAGAAGAATTATGACGTCTCGTGATGAAAGCCGAGTTCCCTCGGAAGTCACGGGACTGATGCCTCTTCTGACAACCAGAGCAACCATTTTTTTAGGTACATGGAACGTTCGTACGTTGTGGGAGACTGGAAGACTATTTCAAGTTGCGGCAGAAATGAAACGATACAACCTCGAGGTGCTTGGAATCAGTGAAACGCATTGGACACAAGTAGACAACTGAGACTAGCTTCAGGGGAACTGCTGTTATACTCTGGTCATGAAGAGGAAAATGCTTCACATACACAAGGAGTTGCACTGATGCTGTCCAAACATGCACAAAAGGCACTGATAGGATGGGAATCTCATGGACCGAGGATCATTAAAGCATCCTTCAAAGCAAAGAAAGAGGACATTACAATGAACGTCATCCAATGTTACGCACCTACCAATGACTACAATGACGACGTTAAAGATCAATTCTACGAAAGGCTGCAGTCAATCGTCGAGAAATGTTCACCAAAGGATTTGACCATTCTTATGGGAGACCTGAATGCCAAGGTTGGAATGGACAACACTGGATATGAAGACATCATGGGACGACATGGACTGGGAGAAAGGAACGAAAACGGTGAGAGATTTGCAAACCTATGTGCCTTCAACAAACTGGTCATCGGAGGCACAATATTCCCGCACAAGCGCATACACAAAGCTACATGGATATCACCGGATCACACTACTCAGAAGGACTATGGAGGATGTGAGAACCAAGAGAGGAGCTGATATGGCCTCAGATCACCATTTGCTAATCGCCAAAATGGGACTGAAGCTAAAGAAGCACTGGACAACGGGACAGACAACATCACACAAGTTTAATACGGCCTTTCTTCGGGATACCGTAAAACTCAACGAATTCAGGATAGCCCTCACCAATAGGTTCCAGGCCTTTCAGGATCTACACAATGGAGAGGAAGCAACATTGGAGAACAATTGGAAAGGGATTAAGGAGGCAATCACTTCAACATGTCAGGAGGTCCTTGGTCGCAAGAAGCACCATCACAAGAAATGGATCTCTGTTGATACTCTTGCAAAAATTGAAGAAAGGAGGAACAAGAAGGCAGCAGTGAATGTCAGCCGAACAAGAGCAGAGAAAGTTACCGCACAAGCTACATACACAGAAGCAAACAGGGAAGTGAAGAAGAGCATCAGAGCTGACAAACGAAAATATGTGGAAGATCTAGCAATGACGGCGGAAAAGGCTGCAGGAGAAGGAAACTTGAGACAATTGTACGAAACAACAAAGAAGCTCGCCGGAAACTATCGTAAACCAGAACGACCAGTGAAAAGCAAGGAAGGGAAAATAATCAGCAACACTGACGAACAGCGAAATGGGTGGGTGGAGCACTTTAAGGAACTATTGAATCGACCAGCTCCACTGAACCCACCCAACATCGAAGCAGCATCCAAGGACCTCCCAATTAATTTTGGCGCACCTACAATTGAGGAGATCAGTATGGCCATCAGACAAATCAAGAGCGGCAAAGCAGAAGGACCAGACAACATTCCAGCGGAGGCAATGAAAGCAGATGTGGAAGCAACTGCGAAAATATTTCACATTCTCTTCAAGAAGATTTGGGATGAGGAACAAGTACCATCAGATTGGAAAGAAGGATACCTCATCAAAATACCAAAGAAAGGCGATCTCAGCAAGTGTGAGAACTACAGAGGCATCACTCTTCTTTCAATACCAGGCAAAGTCTTCAACAGGGTATTGTTAAACAGAATGAAGGACTTCGTAGACGCCCAACTTCGAGATCAACAGGCCGGATTTCGTAAGGATCGATCGTGTACTGACCAAATTGTGGCATTACGGATCATTGTCGAACAATCAATTGAATGGAACTCACCACTCTACATCAACTTCATCGACTACGAGAAAGCATTTGATAGCGTGGATAGGAAAACACTGTGGAGGCTTCTTCGACACTACGGTGTGCCTGAGAAAATAGTCAACATCATACGGAATTCTTATGATGGATTCAACTGCAAAATCGTGCACGGAGGTCAGCTGACAGACTCTTTCGAGGTGAAGACCGGTGTCAGGCAAGGTTGCTTACTCTCACCCTTTCTCTTTCTCCTGGTCATCGACTGGATTATGAAAACGTCAACATCTCGAGGGAAGCACGGTATCAACTGGACAGTTAGGACGCAGCTGGACGATCTGGACTTCGCAGATGACCTGGCTCTTCTATCGCACACTCAACAACAAATGCAAGAGAAGACGACCAGTGTAGCAGCAGCCTCTGCAGCAGTAGGTCTCAACATACATAAAGGAAAAAGCAAAATTCTCCGATGCAACACAACATGCACCAACCAAATCACGCTTGATGGAGATGCTTTCGAGGACGTTAACAACTTTACATATCTGGGCAGCATCATTGACGAGAAAGGTGAATCGGATGCAGATGTGAGGGCGCGGATTGGCAAAGCGAGGGCTGCATTTCTACAGTTGAAAAATATCTGGAACTCCAAACAACTTTCAAACAAAACCGAAATCAGGATTTTAAATACAAATGTCAAGACAGTTCTACTGTATGGAGCAGAAACATGGAGAACTACCAAAGCCATCATCCAGAAGATACAAGTATTTATTAACGGTTGTCTACGCAAAATACTTCGTATTCGTTGGCCAGACACCATCAGCAACAACGAACTGTGGGAGAGAACAAGTCAGATTCCAGTGGAGGAGAAAATCAGGAAGAAGCGTTGGAAGTGGATAGGACACACTCTACGAAAAGCACCTAACTGCGTCACAAGACAAGCCCTCACATGGGACCCTCAAGGCAAAAGGAAAAGAGGAAGGCCAAGGAACACACTACGCCGAGAAATAGAGAAAGATATGAGAGGAATGAACAAACATTGGACAGAACTGGAGAGAGAAGCCCAGGACAGAGTTGGTTGGAGAAAACTGGTGGGCGGCCTATGCTCCATTGGGGGTAACAGGCGTAAGTAAGTAAGTAAGTAACGGTTCGGAGGGCTTACGTCGAATCGCCATTCAGGAAGACTGGAGATTGTGGGTAAACGAAGTGTGGCTGAAGGCCAGTCGAACTGATCGCTTAAGTGTTCTGCTCATTGATCCAGTCTCCTGGATTGAGAATAAATAATAGTCCCATCCTTTTCCGAGATAGTCTCACTTACACTACGATTCCTAATACCAGTTTCCTTGATAAGTCGGAAAAGTCGTCTACTGTTGCCTATCGCCGCTGCCTTTTCCACCTCTCCCGCTTTCGCCGCCCACCATTGTTCACGGTCGTTTCGTAGGCTTTTCATCAGCCTGCGCGTAAGCTGACTTCGCTCTTCATCATGTTCAGAGCCAGCTGAGATGAGTTTACGAGCGTCTATAAGTTCGGTGGATGCTACTGAGATCCTCGGCTTCTTCCTGGTCATATGGTTTACCTTACTAGCAGGTATCACTGCTGTTTTCACAGCTTCTTTGATATCATTCCAAGCTGCCCGATGGTGGGCATCATTTACTACATGGTCGCCTGTCTTTCTATTTGTTCCTGAAATACATTCTTAGTTATTCTATCATGAAGTAGAACCCTAAGAGGCTTCTTTACGGTGTCTTTCCTATGTCCAGTAAGCCTCAAACAAATACGCGCTCGCACTAGGGCATGATCTGAATCTAAACATGTGCTCCAGAACGAGCGACCGTCTTCTATCGAACCTCTCCATCGGTGGCTGATGGCGATGTGATCTAGTTGGGTCCAGCGTTGAGACGACTTTGGGGTCACCAGGTCAAAAGATGTTTTTGCTTATACCTATCATAGGATAATTTGGGTGCGAAATGAAATTCCTCATAAACACAAACATTCAAAATCTAGATGACCTTAGGAAACTGATATAGTTTATCGAAACCTATTAAAGTTCCATTGTTTTTTCGTTTGATACTCATAATCAGTGATGTTGCTTACCCAGAAATATGTTAATTTAAGAATCTATGACAAGCAGCTGTTTTTTTCTACACAAAGAATTTTGATATTTGAATTAATGGCTAGTGTGAAAATCCTTGGCATGGGCCGAATACCGTACTTCATTTTTTCTCCTTATCTAAGTAAAGATGGCTGCCACTAAAATTTGTTGGTACTGCACGTGGATTCCATGTATAAATTATACAAATTTAAAAGCTACGATTTTTTATATTATATTATTCAGTTGTTTCGGTTAAGGTACATATTGTTTAAATGATGTCATAGATCTGCTATATCAGAACAAAGATTGAAAGAATAGCAACTTCCACGACTAATTTATGAATTATCACTATATATATTCCTATTACACAATTATTGAAAAACTAAATTACTATGTACATATACTTTATTTCATATATACTTTCGTTCGATTTATTCACCACTATTTTGCTATTTACTAGTACTAACTTGTTGCCAGTTTATGAATTATAGCATCGTCTACTCACAGCCACTTTGTGGCTTATTCATATACAATCGTTGGTTTTTAATTATGATGTGATGTGGTACAGTTTGTTGTATATAAAGCTGTGTCTGTCTGCAATACAAATATGGTATAGTCAGATCGCTAACTTCTGAACTCAAGGGTAGATCATAGATGGAAGCTAAAGAACCGTGAGACAATAGGAATTCAGCTACTAACTCAAAGTTAATTGTGTGAAGTGGACGTGTAATTGGTCAGATCATTCATTCCAATTTCGACAATTACATTATCTGAAAACAAGGAGTAGTTGGAGATATGCATCAAGAAATTAATAATCCGATAAACAGTTTAATCAATTCACATACGAGATCAAATCAAATATCGCGTTAGAACATTATGAGAGTCACCATTTTTCATAAGAAATCGCAGTCTTATTAAATGACTTATCCAATAAATTTTATAAAATCAGTTTGACTTATGCATTTATGATTAAGAACTGGAGATTAGTATCAGTCATAACCTTGAGAAAGCAAACCAAAACTGTCAATAATTAAACTCACTGCTCCACTTTTATCTTTCAAACACTGAACAATTCTTTCTATCATCTTCATTGTATCGATATTTCGTCCAGACAAGTTATTTAAGATAAATGCCATACAATATAATGCATTTGTACGTATACGGAAATTTGTATTTTTAGAATATATCCATAATTCATCCAGTATAACATCGGGTTTAAAATATCTCAGTAACTGTAACAAGATTCTATGGATGGTTTGATGCATTGGCTTTAAATTATTTGTTAAAATTGGATTAAACAATTGAAATATTTCTCTAGTGTTTGCTTCTATAACATAATTGGGTAAATAATGTAGTAGCATCTGTAGACAAGAAAACAGACATACATTTAAGTTTATATGATTTATAATGGACAGTAGAAATAGGCGAGCATGACTGTGTCCGTTGGTGAAATATATTATAATTGATTAGTTAAATCCAACCTTGAATGTTGATAGGAATATTGTTAATGTGTTCAGTTGTTGTAGACAGAATATTAATCTTATCTGAATTCTTAACACCATATAAACATTGTAGATAACATTTTTCTATAATTATTGATAAGTATGAAACATAAATTGATTTTTTCCCTATTCACCTATAATTGACCAAGCTGATATATAATGGCCCCAATAATTGTTTGATTTATTGATTGATTTAAACACATGGTTAGTAAAAATAAACTTCTACTTCTTCACTCATTTTGAACATTACTCTGTAAAATTTGTAATGTGTAATTCGTGTGTAATTCGATCATGAAATTTCTGTTTAGACTTATGAGTCAAAATTCTTAGCGGAATTCATGAGCATATAAACTTTTTTAGTGACACTCAATGCATTGAAGATCAATAACAGTTTCCGTATTTTTAGAAATTTCTTCATGTTCCAACTTTAAATTTCTAACTAAAATTTATAGCATAATTAATTATCAACCTAAAAGTATAGGCTTATTGATATTTTATTTAATGATAATGTCACTTAGTCTTGTCATCGAACTTGCAAATATAATTAGAAAATCAAACATAACTTTATAATGATATGAAATTATAGAAAACATTTCTTAGTACATTTCATATAAGACGAAATAAAATATTCTCAAATCTGTAATATAATCATATGAATTAGTCAAAAATGCTTCATTATTTTATAGTAATGGCATATTGTCAAAAGTAGATGAAATTCAAAATACCTTTCTTCTTTTATTCCTTGTTAACTTAATTTGTGTCATTAGTAGAGATGAGCAAAAAAATCTCCGTAATCTATCGACGGCAAGAATTCATCTTATTTTCCTAGTTGTTGTTTATTTCAAAGTACGCCATTAACGATTGAATATGATTCGATATGATCTACATTTAAACGTTATCAATCTAGTCAGAACAAGTTAAAGACTTGGAAGACATTAAAAATATGTGAGGAAATGCGCATTTACTAACGACGACAAGATGTTTAAAAGGGAATGAAATGAATAGTTACTTTAACGAAATTCGTAACACCAGAAATAAAGAAAATATTTTGAGAAGAATTCATATATTACACAGTTCAAGTTGTAGTTTCATTTAGACAAATCGGTAGTGAAAAAAGTTTTTGTTACTATAATTATTACTGTCTAATCTATTATGACTGTTATCGAAATCTTTTGAATGGAGCGTTATATTCCAATCACGACTAGTATTCGAGGACGTATGCTAACGAAAAATTAGTGGTGAAATCTAACAATAACTAAATTCTAATTGACTAAATAACTTATCTGCACTGACAAGCTAATTGATAAAAACAACACAATGATTAGATTTCTAAACTTGTTGAAACGAAATCATAGAATTTATTGGTCGACAATATTTTATCACTTAAAACACCACTCACTTATGAGGCCTTTTGCATTGTAAACTGAAAATAGTCAATCTGGAAATGATCATTTCAAAAATAGTTGAATGAATGTTATTTATCACTTATTTCAGTATATTTATTTTAGTTATTATAACTCATACTAAACTCATACTACTAATTTGTAAGTTATATATATTTACACATTGATAAGTTAATTCAGCATCAGTGGTGTGAAACGATTTTAGAAATATAAGTTAAATGACAATTTTTTTTCGAAGCTTCATGGAATAATGAATGTTATATAAGGGGTATCACTACTAAAAAAAACTAAGTTTTTGAAACTGTACACTACTTAGTCTGAATTTAATAAGTGAATAAGAACCAAAGTTTGAGTACGATTTTCAATAAAATCAGACTAACAATTCTTAATCAATACTATTGTCATCACTTTATACATATTCTGTCAACAATATTAAACATTAACACATTTGATAAAAGTTATTCAATAAACCAGTTCACAACGACATGATATTTATATTTATCATTTATGTTTTTTGATAAATTTGTTCATGAATTGAAAACACAATGCACCTGTAAAGTTTTAAATGTTAATGCTGTATAAATTTAAACCCAGTGATAAATTTGAGTTGAAGGTCAATAGATAATTAGTCAGCATCTAGAAACCTAATGAACATTAATATGTCCGACTCAATCGTCTAGATCACTAGATATCTGTACCGTATATCTTAGATAAAATGGCATTATCAACAGGTTGTTATGAATGCATGAGCTATTCCGTCTCCTCGTGTGTCTGTCTATATGATCACCTACATACACTTACGATTCACAAGTACGTCATTCACGTCTTGACTATGAAACTTCCAACTCATTCTAAGTTTCTCTCATTTCATGGGTGCATTGATCAAATGTTAGAAACGAATGTCTTTTTAAAGTTCCATAGATTTTAGTTGTGTTCTCACAAAGGCAGATTACTGTAAAAAATCCTGACATGAATAAGTTTGTTCATTTAAACCCAATTCTTGGAAAATAAGTTGTCCTATTTCACTATCTCTTACTCAATCATTAATTGCTTACCAATACAACGTCAGAAAGATGAAAAATCATATTTGCTGACTGATTATGCATTATATTCAATATATTTGTCAGAAAAATTCGAATATTCTTTATATAACATTTAAGATTTGGATAAAATTGAAAAGAATTTTCACCGCAAAACATTTTCCAAGTAAATAATCTTAGAGCTTCTATTCCTTTCAACTGGACTGAATGATCGCGTCTGTTGTATAATTGGTAATGAATGTTAATCGGTATCATAATTGACTGTTTGGATGCAATAGAAAATTCATTAAAAGGAGTTGAGTAATCTGTGAATATATCTTCTGATATTTTCTCATTGTTATTAACACTCCAATTATATGGTACGAATTTGACTTGTGAAAAATCACCAATATTGTTCAATGTATGAAACATTTGAGACTGTATATAATTTATACCATTCTGATAATCCAGACGGTCAATACACCAATAAATTAATTGCATAATATTCAAACAAAATGATTTAATCCTTGAATCTAATACTTTTGACTTCTCTATAAGTAATTTCAATGTCATTACAATCTCGTAAAAATCTATCTTGTACTTCGTCATCAAATATATTAAATGGTGTAATTTAATGATACAACGTTTGTGTTCAACTGGACTGGAAATTGTCAACACACCTACAGATATTAGAATACGTATAGCCGGTGCAATATTTTTACAATGAATAATGTAACAACAAATACAATCCCATGTATGCTGATCGATTTCTGATTCTTTTTTCAATAAATTAGAAGCTATATCCAATTCTAACACGTAAATTAATAAGTTCTTCAATTTGATTGAGAGTGAATTATTTGTAAATAAGTGTTTTAATGTCTCGATACATTTGATGTTTAAATAATCTACTGTCCCAAAATGTCTTAATATATATGATAAAAATTTTCCTAATACGTTAATGGTATGAAATGAAAAATACTTTACATCATAGCAATGGATAACATCATTCAGTAATACGTAAGCGGATCTTGTGAACTCATCGAAATCACTTTTGTTAGAGTATAACGCCTCTATAAGCAATATTAAATTATTGTCCTGCATATTGTTTTAAAATTTTCAACGTAATATAATTCAAATTTATAGTTTCAATAAAATGATAACATTATTTATGTAGTTAGTCTATATTTATCGCTGCATAGATGACCTTGTCTTCGTTACCTCAAAGTTCGCTGACCTTTAAAACTATTAAGCACAAAAATCGATGATATGTACTAAATGAAAATAAGTGGGTGAAGTACACATGGCCAGTTTTCTAATCAATACGATCCTGTCGTTTTGGAGTAAAGAAGTGATTATATGATATATATCTTTCGGAATGCATCTTTGTATAGAAAAGTGAAGTCAACTACACTAACTATTGTCGTAAATAAATATAATAGGACAAAATGAGTTCATCAATATTACTGAGAAAAATTTTACGTTGTATCACGCAAAATACCAGTAATTTCGCTTGTTAGGTGAAATGTGTACTGTTCGGTGGAGAAAATTTGCTTGTGATTTACATTGTAAATTGTACATATGGTAAACTATAAAATTCATGAATATAAGAAGACTAAATAAAGCTCTATTAACAATAATTGAATGATTTCAAGATTCAAGAAACTTTTGCGAGAGCGACGCTTGATTTTGTTATTTTCGTATTAAACTATCATATATAAAATTAAATATTAACAGAATTGTACACATTAAGTACAGAAAATTAATTTCTTCAAACGGTCATCAATATTTTATTGATAAACTTCAATAAATCTCAGAATTTGTAGGCGAACATTATGCATAATCATATAGTTCAAGACGAATTCACAAGAAAAGCAAGGGAATTACATTTCAAAATCAAAATTTTATATCATAGGAAGAAATCAACTGCCATGAAACTAGAAGTAAATAGTGAGTTTGAGATTGTATAACATATACTAGGTAAAAGTTATTCAACAAATAATGGGTCTAAAAAAAGGAATCCAGGATACAAACAGGCATACACTATCCATATCCGTTTATATTTCACAGTCTATTGGTAACATTTCCGTCATGGTAATGAAAGAATCCCTGATGGTGAACTAATGAGGAAACGTGATTTTTTGAGAGAAGGCCAAGTTAATCATTTATAGTCAACAATTATCTGTCTACCGTAGTTACTCTCGAAATCTCACATTGTTAGTGTGTATGGCTCGTATATGGATTTAGGAAAAAAACCTGACATTAATTGTTTGACACCCACTCATTGTGCTTTGACAAAAACCAAAAAATCTATTAAATATTTTTTGTTGAATTTATTCCCTGTTAAATAGTAGTAGTCATTGTTTGATACATTTTCAGTTTGACATACCAACAAATGTAAAAATGTAACACAATGAAAGGTACTTATGTACTGTTTTGGCTAGCATTCAGATTTGTTGAATCTGTTTTAGCATTCCTTCCAATAGAGATTGCAAGTAAAATGTGAAATTAAAATTGCCGCTAAGTTGTTTAGATATACCAGGACGAAACGGCCGTCCAGTGCTTCCAGGTTTCTAATGCTGATTGATGATTTCAAATAAATTCATTGTTTTCTTTCTATCATATTATTATTATTATTATTATTATTATTATTATTATTATAAGGTACATTGTTCTATTGATTCTTCTACAATTGCATTTTTGATTACAAGGTAGATTACTTTCAGTACGTCCAAATATCGCTGGACGTTTACCAGGTCTTTATACTATCAACGAACGTGTAGTTTATTTGGGAGAATGGAATTATGGATTAATGTCATTCGCAGCAGTTGGTGCATTCGGTGTTGGTAACATACACGTAAATATCGACCCAACACTAATTACAAACAAGAAAGAGGATAATGCATTGCGTTTTCGTTCTTCAAACACGCCAACAATAATAAATGAAGAATATAAACCACCATACTTTGAAGCAATATTTGATAATGAAATGAAGCTTAAGAAAGGTGATGAATTGGGGTGTTTTCGTCTCGGATCCACAGTTGTTTTGATTTTTGAAGCTCCTTCAAATAAGTTCAAATGGTGTGTAAAATCAGGTCAACGAGTTAAATTTGGCGAACCAGTTATAATGGATTACTAGTTTTTGTATTTAACACCGTAGGTGTTATCAATCTTTGTACATTAATCTATAGCACTTGATGTTTATGTAAATGGATAATTGCATTATGATAAAATGCAAATACAAACAATCATATCTTTATGCTCGTATGTTAAAGTAGCGGGATATCTAGTAATCGAAATATAATCCATATGTAGTTTACAAATCGAGTGTGATGAAGTGTCGATCGGAATTCTATCTCTAGATTTGCTTCTTTTCATTCAGTAGCAACGTATAAACCGGTACGTATGTACCAATACTGTTATGATAGTATAGGCCACTGAAGATGCGATTCAAGCAAATATACTATAATGGATAAAAGGGTTATGAGGAATTTAGAAACTCAATATCTAAAATCGAAAAATTATGGGGAACTTGGAATTAACATTTATGTTATGTGCCATTCATTGAATATTCAGACATTTTGCTGTTTTCATCTTATTTGTAATTATTGTCATAATTCACAGCAGCAATCCAAGTAGTCACTGAGAAGTTCCAAACCACAAGTGATTCATCTCAGTCAGATGAATATCTATTCATTATTGGAAATTTAAGTAAGTAAAGGTACACGCAAAATTCAGGGATTTTATATGTTCATGAATACAGGAATACATGCAGTTTTTTAATTGAATAAACAGTCTAGTCTTCATAACTCATTCACGCTTCCATCTGACTTATCACGTTTGATATATATGTAGATTTAAAAGATCATAATTAAGTTTTTCTGACAGTTCAGTCGATTTTTCTAACCTGAACATCGTAAATCTATCTGAATATGATGTGAAGGAGAGGTAACGAAGTTGGATTTTACATCTAAATTTTATATCAAACCAATGCTCTTCAGGTTTTTTTGGTGGAACTCTTCGTTTCACTTCCAAATAACAGTAGTTTCCGAATCGTAAATGCCTCGTGTTGAAGGTGACTGAAAGCATGAAAACCTAGCCTCTTTCGGGGAAGAAACGCCTACTTGATTGATTTTCTCTTTGAATAACAAGCGTATCCACAAATGTCGGTTGGTTAATTACCTGGTAACAACAGTTAGAATCACTATTTTGAGGTACATTAATTCTTCTTAATCTTGTAAAAATCATCCTGCTTAAAATATAGTCATAATGTCACCACATGTTATCACTGGGTTGGGTAAAATGAATGTACTTACTTATGCATCGTAAAACCATTTACCATACTGTTATTGATTGGAACTGACTCTTCCCCACACACTAGGAGATTCTGGTGTACCACATACTCACATCTTTTTTCCATCAATCTATGTTTAGGATTAATAATAATTTCAAACCTTTATAAAATAATAATTCCTCATAAACTAGTCCATTAATTTACTTTCTATACAAAGTTGGCTGAATCTGTAAGGTATTTTGTGATTCGAGACCTGACTCCGATTTCGATGAACGAATGAATATGACATGAGTACAAATCTTCCGCTTAATTCCGTATATCGCACCTTGGCTAACCCTGTTCGAACGACGACCGTATTAAGAAGCCAAATACAGATTAGGTTGGATCAATTCATTTCATGAACCTGTTTTCTCGGACAGACATTAAGGTGAGGAATGGGAAAGCGGAACAGAGCAGAGAAAACAAGCGTGCCAACTTTACCTGATAAGGCGTGACTTACATTTTATAGCCAAACAAATAGAGACTAAAGACATTTGATGTGTGGAATGAACGATGTACGCATATACGCTCGAATCTAAACTCACTGTCATAAGCGAATGATGGACAAGGTCGAAACATATGTGGATGATGACGCGAGAAGAATGGCTTTGTAATGTGTATTAAATCACTTATTAATCACATTCTATGATATTTATTATCATATCGCAATCACGGACGAGATGTTTGGTTGAATCGATTTTCATTGGATTAAATTGATGCATAAATCTAAGTCGTTGGAAAATCTGGTTATTAGCGTACTTTTTCGCTCTCTCTCTCCATAGCACTGAATCTGAATATGCCCTGAACACTTGAAACTGTCTATATTATGTATTACTAGTTTACACTGAAAACAGACCAGTTTCTTCGGCAGCAGCTATGCAGTTCACCAAAGCCTAACACGAACTGTAATCATTCCCTATTTGGATAGTTAGTTTCGGGGGAGGGGGGGGTGCTGTCTCTTTTTGGTAAGTTCAGACCAATAATCGGTTGTTATCATGAGTTCCTCTAATTACCAGAAAGCACTTGCCTATAAACTTGTTAGGAACATAAAAGGTGTAACTCATCAAGGCTCTACAAATCAATCTTCTGAATGATATAACGCAAAACGTATTACTTTTGTTAAAGTATTAAAAAATGTGCAGGTTTCAAACGCACTTATTGTCAAATTGATGATATTCCGATAATTTTTGATCATTCTTCGGGTAGAGGACTATGGATGCGGAAAACCTGGAGTAAGAGATTATGCATAAATAGTTTGGCTACTGACAGTGTGTGAATAGATCGTAGCGTCTATTGCATCTTGATAATCGTACTGATTTTGTGACCAACTGAGGATTACCGTCAAAATAGTTATCCCATTTCACTATACAGATATTTTTACAAGTTTTACATTCAAACGATAATAGTACTCGTGCACTACACCAACAATCCTCACACACAAAACCCAAAAGAACGATATCTCAAATCTATTCAGAAATGAGTTAAAATCACACGATGACAGTTCTTCTCATAGACAAACTCAGAAATATTGAATCAAGTGAACGACAAATCTCCATAACGAAGACAGTTTCCGTATTATTTGCGATACAACGTAGACTGGTCACTGTATAACGGTTTATTCTTGATCTGATTTTAATTTTCACGTTACAACCAACCAATCGACTGCTCAGCATTGTAATATTTATTAGTTCTAACACTATCACTACCATGGCACAAACGTGTTCAGTTTAACTCAAGACATGCCTAACTCTCCAAGGATTTCTTTCGAATTCATTACTCAATATTTAGGCTGACTAATTGCAGTATCTTCACTACTCTAAGCAACGATGCAAGCACGTTCGGGATGCGGTTCTCACCATCGAAATGCAAAGCATTGATTCAAGGTTGGCTGATGTCAGCACCTGAACTAGAGAAAAGGGAGTGAAGCAGTTGAGCTTGTCAATCTTATCACTTATCTTGGGAGTCCCATCAGCAATGATGGCTTGGTGACTGATGATACTTCAACACGGATACATAGGGCTCGACTGGCTGCACACTGGCGTCACTTATGGCGTAGGCAAAATATCTGTTTACTAACGATAAGAGACAGTACTGCGCAGCAGGTCGCGTCGTCCTATAATATGGATGCAAATCATGGCCGGAAAAAGTGGATATTCCTACATTGCTAATATTCGATCATACATGTCTTCAAAGCGTAGCTCGTATATCCCGGGACCATCGAGAAAGTAATCCGGTTACCAGAAAACGGGTATTACGAATGCCCAACCGGACGATTGTCTCGACTAGTTATCATTTGCGCTGTAGGTTTTAGGAAAGCTGTGGGCTGACAGACAAAAAAAATTTCAGACTCATGAAGTCATCGACAAATGAAGTAAGCGGTGGTGGTAGGCGCAGACAGCCAGTTCGAGGTCTGCGGGACGATAGCGACCGACCGTAGCTGCTACCTTGACATGGTGGTCGGGCTTGCCTATCGTGATGACCCAAACGAGCTGTATTGGCTGAAACATATGTTACTGCAGGTCCCACCATGCCAGGCAGGTCGTTTGGAGAACGATCAGAGTAAAAGCAGCTACTCAGGGCGAAGTCCTACTGCTGACTGCAGAGGGGTGTGACAGCAGAAAGGTGTTTCCCTCAGATAACCAGCATCTGCAGCGATGCTGCCTTCTCACAAGGAAGGAAGGGTTAGAAAAGGTCGACCCCAAAATGTCACACCTTACCCTATCTCACGGATTTCCATCTCCGGCGGTAAGGGTGCCCACTAAGGGCCTTTAAGAGCGGAGCTAATCCTCAAAAAATCTTTCATAAAAAGGCCGTGTGTGACCGGCCTCGAGCAGTTGTCCCTTGGACTCTGCGGTCACGCACCCAGGTCTCCAAGACCAACACTAATCTATCTTCCTTTTCAGGTTCCTCAGGAAACACCCTTCAACGGTGTGGGCAGCCGGGAAGTGATAACCGCCCTCATACCCGTAACAGCACACGAGACCAAATTGGTCGAAATCAAATCCTTCCTACACCCACACATACTTCTCTTATCTCCACGACTAACTATTCCCACATTCATTTATCACAGTGCATAGCTAATGCAAACGATGCGAGTTCGCGAAACGTCGTTCCTGGTCTCCTTAAACCCCGTTACAAACTACATGTTGGAGCATTTAATGTACGGACATAGTGTAGAATAGGGCAACAGGCATCATTAGCTAGGACTTGAGAATATCGTGCCATCGATGTGTGCTGGGTCTCGGAAACGCGCATACAGCATCCGAGTAGCATCATTTACTTGACCTCACCATGTCAAGGTAAAGAAGCAGCTCGATTTACCCTTCGTGTATCCGGTAGCCCTGATGCTGCTTCCCGGGGTCTCGCTTGTGTAGGTATAGCATTGAGTCGTAGGGCAGAACTAGCTCTCCTACACTGGACCCCAGTAGATAGTCGCTTGCGCGCTGTCCGAATAAACGGGACAGTAAGGATTCGAAAGGATAGAGACACTCGTCGTTGCCGCTTCGTCATATCAGCCTATGCCCTCACTGACTGCAGTTCAGACGATGTAAAAGATGAGTTCTACAGAAAGCTTTCGGATCTCCTCCAAAAAGCTAGGCGCTCTGATATAGTTACAATGGCTGGTGACTTTAATGCGCACGTAAGTAGACTAAGTGAGCAGGAGACACCTAGGTGGATGTTATGGTGTAGTGTGCCGATAACTGCGTGTTCTTATAGCTCGGTTTATAAATCAGAAGATGAACTCCAAGTATCGTATACGTTTATTCGTGGCACACCACAAATCGAATTGGAGAAGGCTAAGAGCC